TCTTACATATATATCCTTATTTGGTATATTAAATTTAGAGATTATTAAAATTTGATTTGAAACGTTGTCTGCGTATTTACTGATATTGAAATCGAAACATTCTTCCCATTGGAAACTGTTAAAATCATTTCGAAGCTTGACGTAATCACCACGATTGTATTCCCATATAGTGCGTTGAAAGCATTGTTGTTTTGGTTTGCGGAATTTAAAAAGACAAAAAACTGGAACATGGTAACGCTGTAAAAGAAAACTGAGTTTAATAACATATCAAATTATGTTGTTAGGGCATGTTAGCAGTGCTTATTATCACTTGGCGAAATAAGCGCTAAATGTGGCATTATGTGTCAAACAGTAGCAAAATGTATACGTAGTATTTTGACTTACAATCTAAATACTTAATCACTATAAATGTACTTATTGCCAAAAAAACAACCAGAACAATACAGCTAACAGAAAGTTCAAGTATTTGTCCAATAAGAATCTTTTTGGAAACTATAACAAGACACCAAAAATAAAAATCAATTGAAAATAAGAATAAAATGATTTTTGAGGCATAATTGGTCTTTAACATTTTCACAGCCTATGGTTATTTCTCAGTTAGAACAAGTTGTTTATGTTTACCACACAAAACGGAAAAAAAGATAATGAAATTTTAATCTTTATTACTTAAACTGATATTTTCATTTTTTGACAACGGTGAAATGATTTATTGTTTTTTCACTTCGTTATATTTGGTCTATTTTCAATATTTTTATTGAGTGTTATTTCAATATTTTTATTGAGTATAACAAATAAAATCTAGAGCATCTATTGTATTGTTTTACTTTTCATTTGGTGATTTTTTTTTTGCCTCATATATATAACGCCAGTTGGTAAAGACACCGTGTTTAGTTTAAAAGACTTATACATGTAAATTTTACAATGCAATGTCGGTAGAACAGTTTATGAAAACAGAATGTTTCTTAATGCTAGGTTCAATTTTAGTTTTATACTTCGTTTGTAGCCATATGTCAATAAACGTTTAAATCAGGATTTGTCTGAATGTTAAGCATCGGTCTGTAGTGAGATTTCTTAAAAATTTTGTTTTTTGAGTCTGTTTAGTGACATTTTCTTCATTCACACTGCATGTTTTGGACACACCAGAACCCACGACGGAAAGAATATCTCGATGAAGACTGCATAGAAATCCAAAACAAAAATGGGTAATAATATAGAGGAGAGTCAGGAGGGTAGAATCACATTTTAATTTTCTTTAAAAAAAAAGGATTAAATTTTAAATAAATGCATTTGATATGAATTTAATAGACCCAGGAAATGAACACGAGACTTGAAAGATTGAATGCTTTAATGATTGCTATAATAATTGGTTATATTTAATAAGGTATTAGATAAAGGCCTATACTGTATAGATCATTTATTTTTTTATCTTATTCGTCATTAATTTTAAATGAAACAAAATAAACAGATTATATACACGTAGTGTAAATAAAACGGATGTAATATAGATATTCAACTGAAGGAAATAAATCTTTGAAAGAACACTTGAGTAATTTCCAAACTGTATATACCAAAAAAAACACACAGACCCTTCTTTGTTTAATATCTTCTTTACACAATATCGTGAAGTTCCTGACCATGGTAATGAAGAATACAAGTATTACAAATTATTTCACATATTTCTTGTATATCATTACATTTACTTTAATTCCTTATTACACCAATTGACATACAATATCTATACTTTTATTACTATATGCACAGCTGATGTAAATTAATGAAGTTATTTTCATTTCTTCTCAAATAAAGCAATTGTGATGTAATAAAGTTCTCCTTATTTAAACAAGTTTTTTACACATTTTATGGCACAGTTTATAAACAGCAATAAAACTCTATAATAGTGTACAGTAAAGTACGTTCTATGGAAATTGTAAAAAAAATTAACATTAAATAACTATTTCTGACTTATTTCCTAAATTATGAAATTATGAAATGTTAACCTCGGAAACAAAATTTCTCTCGGTTAGTTCAAACTTTATTTATTCAATAAATTGTACATAAAATGAGATTTACAAACATTTTACAAGAATGTAATTCGGAGTGGATTGGAAAACAAGTAAGACAATACAGATCAATTCCTCCCAACATATTTCACAAACATAAATGGGCCGCGTCACGACAAAACCAACATAATGCGTTTGCCACCAGCATGGATCAAGACCAGCCTGCGCATCCGCGCAGTCTGATCAGGATCCATACTGTTCGCTATCAGTTCATCTACTTGTAATAGAGTTGGTAAGCGAACAGCATGGATCCTGATCAGACTGCGCGGATGCGCAGGCTGGTCTAGATCCATGCTGGTCGCAAACCCATTATGTTGGTTAAGTCGTGACGCGGCTCAAATGAACATTTTCTCTCTGTTGCTAAACAATTTCACTGGACATATATAAGTTCAAAAATCAATTTTTTATACATTTAAACATATATTTTAGAAAAAAGTATTAATTGATCTAGTATTTTGTTTTCATTTAGCTAGACATTTATTACCAAATATTAACATACATTCAACGTGTTAAGCACCTCACATAAAAAAAAATCCATTTTACAACATTATAAAACACATGAGTGTCCTTTCTAGAAAGAAAAAAACAAATCATTTTTGGGGCATAATATGACTTTGAATAGTCAAAATGGAATTTAAAACATTGCTCTTAATTCAATCAACACAGTCAAGATATGTATAAGAAGTCAAGAAATGCACCAGAAAGCAAGTTATTCCTGCAATAAAGTATTAAGCAGATTCAGTAATCTATGTAATGTGAATATCACGCTTCACTTCTGGTGTCAAGTATCCATCCAAACAAATCCAATAAAGGAAGTTACAAAAACAATGAAGGCAATCAATTATGCATGGAAATCTCTTGTAGGGTATATATACCTGAAAAATCAATAAAATCACTGATGGTTATTAGTGACTCTAAGTTGTTTACGTTGACACAATTAGCAGCAATTTATACGACGGTAGACGCCATTTTTCTGGAATTGTGATATTATACAGTATTTCGTTTTGGAGATGAGATATGACAAGTAGCTGCATGGTGAGTCAATTTTCTTAAATTAGCGTTATCGTAAATACAGAAGTAACAATAAACATGTATAGAAAATGCAGCAATTAATTTTCAATTTTTGTAACAATAACTACGCTAAATATCTTAAATGAACTTTTTTATCTTTCAATCTGGACACAAAAAAATTATTCATCATATTAGAAGAAATTTCAAAATGTTATACTGGCTGAATAGCTGGCAGTGCAGTGGTCAGACGACATGAATCTGTCGGCTGAAATTGGTTTGCACTAGTTGTATGTGTACATCTTGTTTGATCGAAACTTTTACATACATTATAATAAAAGGTTGTTGCTCAAAAAAAGATTATGGAACAAACATTTAACTGTTTGCAAATTATTCTGATCATTACCGTATTTCTATAGATTTTTTTTCCATTTAATATGATTTAACTTACATATACAGTAGCCTGTACGTTCATATCGAATATCGTTAACTTGGAAAATACTTAATGATGCTGACAATCTGGTTAAGCATCAACAATTAATGACATGACAAAAGGAATATCCGACATACCGATCAATATAACCAATTTCCAACGCTTATATAATCAAAGTGTTATTTATTACAGTACAGTTATTAATTAAGCTCGATTCTGGTAAGCAGGTTATGGCTTAAAGCAGCATGCTTCCAGATTCATGCTATTTTCATGAAAAGTTTGACACTGTATAAGAAAGTAAAATATTGTAACGTAACCAGAAGAAAGCAATTAACACATTACAAAGAGCACTCACAACTAATGAAAATTACCAAATTGAGGTCAAAATATTCAAAATAACATTAACTGCGTCAGTAACACTGTAGAAATATGGTTATGAATACTGATAAAGCAATAATTAATCGCACATAACATGTAAAGTATTACGTAGATCTTCGAGTACCTGTACTATCATTTAATGTTTTTGAATATGTAAAAAAGTTACATATCCTTTTACATATTGAAAATATAAACAGTTTTATTTGCCACAAATATCTTAATACTTGCTAATTATAATTATTTAGTCATGCCAGGAATATATTCATATTCCACGTCCAGAAATCGAGCCTTTCAAATGTTTAAAATCAATATTTTTATTTCATCTCTAGATTGTTTAATGCGAGCAAATTCATTTAATATTAATATAAGTTTGTGCATTTAAATTCCATGTATTAATTCAAAAACAAAAATAATAACACTGGGTACTGATATTATATTAAAATATTTGAGCCGCGTCACGAAAAAAACCAACATAATGTGTTTGCGACCAGCATGGATCGCATCCGCGCAGTCTGATCAGGATCCATGCTGTTCGCTTACCAACCCTATTACAAGTAGAGAAACTGATAGCGAACAGCATGGATCCTGATCAGACTGCACGGATGCGCAGGCTGGTCTGGATCCATGCTGGTCGCAAATGCACTATGTTGGTTTTGTCGTGACGCGGCTCATTTATAAATGTTTGTGCTGAATTAATAAAAACATTGCGAAAGCGTCACATTTGGCGAGTTTATGAGATATTATATTTGAGCAAGTATAGTGACCAATGGTCATTTGCAATAAACTTATCATGACAGATTGTGTCTAATGTACTATATTCATAAGACTAGTGGATCAAGTTGGATTAACGATCTAACTTGTCTGTCCATATTAATTAAGTATGAGCACATCTGTGGATCTTGTAAACCTTTTAATTTGTTTTTCTTTCTTTTTTTATTTGTTGATTTCTGCTGAAGCCGATGCAAGGCGGTGGGGTTCAATTTTCTGTACGATCATTTGAGTGTGTATAACTATTTCATTACAGCAGTCATAGTTGCCACGTGTTTACAGTTTCATTTAAATGGGCCTGATTGGCTTGATCTAGCATTGAAAGCATCCGATTTGTATTATGGGGTCGGTAGTTCGATGATCGGGTGAGGCTTTCTCCTCGGACAAATGAGTCTGATGGTCAGTTGTTTTTACCATTGATTCAGAAATCATGTGGGCTGAGTAGTCTGTCACATGCGAAGAAATTGTTAATTACTGGTTAGTTATCTAGATAAGCCGGTTAGGTTGATTTACCACCAATATATGACCAAAAATGTGTTATAATTGTCGTAAAAGCAAACAAAATAATATAAATGACTAAGGTACATATTTAATGTCTTTTAAAATAAACATGTATTTATAGTCTTTTCAGTGAGTATGGCGTAATGGTAGCAAAACAACGAAAAATGGAAATCACAAAATGGCCGTATTGCCCTGTGTCAGCATCAGGAACCTTAAAAATTGCAATATTTGTTCTCCTAGAAATAGTACTATGCAAAACAGGTATGTTGCTTTTTCGTGTAACAAATTTATACCACGTGACCTGACGTACTGTATGTTTCTTTGTTACGATTATCTTTAATAGTATTTCTTTATAGTACTAATACTAATTTCCTAAGTGCTTTACCAGTACATGCAATATTGCACTTAGAATCGTGACTTTTTTTAGCAACATTTAATCATATAATTTTCTGATTACAAATATAATATATAGTTATTCCCGGAAACATAACACATACTTTTTGTTAATTAAAAAGTTATGCTACTTGTATATAATAAAAAGGTAATGATCTCCACTTCAGAATCTCAGCACATTCCATTCATTCGGCATTATGAAAGAGTATTTTACGACCACGTGACAATAAGAGACCACCACGTGATCAGACGCTCAGCAGACGACTTGACGTTTCAGTTCTGGGCGTTTGGAAGGTAAATGAACAAGTTTAGGAAAGTTATATCACAACCAAACTTGAATATTACATATAAGCATGATGTACCATTTAAATACAGCAAAAAGTACATACATTTTATTCAAGCAAGAAATGAGGTCAAATCTTAATCAAACACGCTATTTCTTTTTCATATATTATAAACCTTCTTAAATTAGGAGCAATTTTCATTTATACAAATGTAGTTTCAAAATATTTAAGTAATATTATTGTTGATTATTTTGTAACGTAAAGATGTGCGTGGTAAAGTAATTTTCGAAATGTTTAAAACCGCTGCCACCAACAGTACAATTATAGTTGAGGCCATTGCTTTTTAGCTTACAATATATTTGGGGTTATTGTAATTGACAATTATTAAAAGTTAATGTGTATGGCAAAATATTTCAGATCATTTACTCCGGTCCTTCGGCAAGATGATAGGCATCTTCATCAAAACCTTGTCATTGAAACTAGTAAAGGAATTAAGACTGAAAACAGACCTTTACCCTACTCCGGATATATTAAAGGTAAGATTCAAATCCAGTAGGTGTGTACATGTAAAATGCCTATAAAGACATTTCTGTTCTTGTTGTTGATGTTTGTTAACGATAAAAATTGCTTAAGCCTTGGCAATAATTTGCTTTAAGACTTTTGTACCTCAGTAGAACTTTAATTGTTTATTAATTTATAAATAATTATAAATGGCTTTATCTCATTGCCTTTGGAATTTTCAAAGTGAATAACCATCAATATTAATTTTACGCATTTGTGATTCCATTTCCTTCTTGTCATTAATATTTCAGAGGATCATTCAAGCATTAAGGGAGTATTGACTAAAGGAGGGCACTTTGAAGGGAAAATTATTACGCACAATGAAACGTATTTTATGGAAAGAACAATTCACCATTTTCAACACGCCGATGAATTCCATACATTAGTTTATAGAATTTCTGACGTCACGTTTAATTCGTCACATTCTTCCTGTGCGCATGCGCGTTTGAAAGAGAGGCAGAGACAATTGACAGGAAGTCGTTATTCAAGCACTGCAAATGTAAAAAAATACGAAACTGGCAAAACGATAGATACAGTTACATCTGCGGGTGATAAGACAAGAAATTATTCACGAGAATTAAATATAGAGAATCTGGAAAATGAAAAGGTTCAGAACAAAAGGGTGAAAAGAGAGCTAGATCCGACGAAAAGAATCTGTGAACTTTACATGCAGGTTTGAAATGTCATTATATAATTATCATATAACACTTCTATAATCTTAGCATGTTAGTTACAAATATAAAAAATATATGTTGTAGATAAAAGCATAACATTGTGTATAATCTATGGTCACATTGCGCAAAACATTCAGTGCTAAAGGAACTAATCTTTTGAGAGTTCGAGGAAAATAAATTCTAACTCAAGACCTTGAATTGAGTTGATATATTTATTCAAATGACAAAAAAAAAGATTTGCTGCTTAAATAACTTTTTTTTTTTTTTTTTTTGGGGGGGGGGGGGACTTTCAATGGCTTTGAGTGAGAATAGTTTTGGTAGCTTTGTTTTCAGAAAGACGCCATACATAAGATTATATTGACTTGACTAAGTTGACTAAACTTTGAACGTAGGGTCTTGAATACTGGTCTATGTACTAAATTAAAACATTTTATTTCAAATCTTGAAAATCGTATCGTTTCTGCTATGTCAAGATATCAAATACTGATAGTGAAGGTATGTCTATCTCCCATTATTGTTTTTAAAAACATTTTTTAATAATTAAATAATATTATCAGTTAAATTCAAAACAAAATTGAAAACTTATTTCAAGAGTATTTTAATGACCATTTTGATTAATACATGTGTATGTTAAATTCTAAGGACTATCCGTGTCATAAACAGGAAGAAAAAAAATAAGTAAAACCTTTGCATAAAAATCGACTCGGTCACTTTACTTAAGCTTTCATTTTAGAGAAGCTTGACTGATATATTTCCACTTGGAATTTAACTAATACATACATTAAAAGTACAATCAGCCCAACACATATAAATAAAATAAAACGAATGTCGACAAAGTAAACTGCTTTTTTTTGTTATTTTACAATTAGAATTATTTCATGTACTGACTTCAGGCAGACCACAAATTTTATGAGAAATACGGAAGTAACGTCGATACCGTAGTTGAGAAATTAACACAGCACGTACAGGCTGCTGATGGAATGTACAGGAATATAAGTGAGTATTCTTTATAATATTTAAATAATATGTCTCTATTTTATTAATTTAGTTGACTTTTACCTCGCAAATGATACTTTGATATATTTAGAATTTATATAAATGTGCATCCCTTTAAAAATGTTTCGGAAATGGTAAAGAAGAACTATTTTATTGTATTCCGTTGTTTACATCCCTTAAAAGATATAACTTCAAACCAATCTGCGTTGTTTCTCAACTCATTGTCCTTGGATAATTTTGCAATTTTCTGACACATACTTTGTTCAGATTTTGACGGAAACGGCGGAGCCGACAGTATTGGCTTCATCATTAAAAGAATGAAGATATGGGATGACCCGGGAGTGGAGGCATATAAGTACGATGGCAATTTCGACGTGGACTACTTTCTTGACCTACATTCACGGGACAATTATGACGCATTTTGTTTGTCATATATGTTCACGTATCAAGACTTTTCCGACGGCGTTCTCGGTCTAGCATGGGTTGGTCATCCAACGTCGGCCGGCGGCATCTGTGAAACGTACAAGGTGATTACATATGCCAATTTTCATTTGCTGTTAGCCATTTTGAAAATAGTTCGTTTATTTATATCAATGCAGCGAATTTGATTGGTTGCTGCACTTACTTTTGAAACAAAATGGCGGACTTCCGTCATTTTATCAACATATTTTATAATAAATCGCATTTCGTAATGTTATGTAAAAGAAATGTTCATATACAGTAACGTTGCAAAATATAAGAGTAACCACAATCGACAAACACTTTACTTTTTTAAAATATGCAGGTTGTTTGATGAACTATATATGCGTGTTTAATTCAGCCATTAAATATGCATAATGGATATAACTTTAATTAAAAAAAAACACACACAAAAATTTTAAAGATATATTAAAACTGTATTAGCATGAATATGAAATAATTAATACTCGATTGAAATATATTACAAAACTAAACATATTTTTATAAAACAAAACAACAGTTTATAAAAGTTTACATATTTCAGACATACAAGGGAGGTGAAAGTATGGGCCTCAATACTGGTATTGTGACACTGTTGAACTACGGATCACACGTACCGTTTGCTGTCTCCCAAGTGACGTTTGCACATGAAATTGGTCATAACTTCGGATCTGATGTAAGAATTCGCAAAGCTGAGTTATTGAATAAAAATTGTTTGTAGTTTATTAGTCTGAAATCAACCATTTTCACATTTAAAAATGAATCATTAATCAACAAGTTTTACAATTACCAAGCGTCTTGTTAATTTTGTCTCTCTATTTATATTTATAATGCGCTTTGAACGACTTGTATTGTAGATTTGCATCTTTTTTCCCATAGCATGACCCGGAATCCGATCAGGAATGCACGCCAGGCGAAACGGCCGGAAATTATATAATGTATGCGCGCGCAACATCCGGGAAGCAAGAAAACAATTTTAAACTTTCAAAATGCAGTGTTGAGCAAATATATCCTGTTCTTGATGTTAAAGCAAGTGGAACTGATGGTTGTTTCGTGGGTAAGGTTCGTTTGATTAAGGTTTAATATATTTTGACCGACAGTTTGTTCATGATGCAGTTCATTGACCAAATTCATTTTTTTAATTAATCAAAAATTGGCGATAATAAAGGAAAGCCCTAGTGCAGAATGGTGTGTCCGAAGTAGTGAATCATTTCTTAGTAAAATACAGACATATATTTGGCGTTCTTCGAAAAAAGTCATCTACACTAAATAAACTACCCTAGAAGTTGTGGAGTTCCCATAGTCTCGGAGTTTCACAGTATTTTGAAAGAAAATACATGACATAACTCAAACGGCTGTCTTAAATGGTTAAAGTCAATTAAAAATGACAGTAGTTGAACTTAAACATCATTCTGCAAACATTTTAGATACATTAAATACATAATATGGCATTATTGTCTCCCAATTTTATATATAAAAAGAAGTAGATGTTATGTTTAATAATGGTTACTGATTTACAGCTGACACGGGTGAGTTATGTGGTAACATGGTCGTGGAAAGCTCTGAGGAGTGTGACTGTGGCTGGGAGGACCAGTGCACTGAAAGTTGCTGTAACCCGATGGTGGACGATCCGGACGCACCTGGTGTAGAAACACCATGTATAAGAAAATCATCGGCTGTTTGTAGGTATGGGTATTGGTTACATCGGTTTCGTTGCATATGATATATATTTAAATTACATTTGTGGTCTTCCATATATTTATGATTGTGTGTCTTACTTTTACTATTAAATAATGTCCAAAATATTTGATATATAAAATAACAATACTGCCACTTAACAGAAAATGGTTACATAAAGCTATATTATTGTCGCGAAAAAAAACATTGCTTCCTTTTGCCCTGTTAGAGCATTTTTTTTTCATAACAACATTGCACATTTTTGTAAGATCACGTAATTAGACTTTGCTTGTTTGTACATTGTATGATATTTTAGTCGTGTTGTTTGCCCAGGCATATAGCGCTCTATCAAAATTGCCATGCCATGGGTTCCTATATTTAGATTTTTTTGTCTTTACATTGACATTTTGTATTCAGTCCAAGTGAAGGTATTTGTTGTGATGCCAGTTGTCAGTATAAAAACGACAGTGTAGCTTGCAGACCGGAATCTGATTGTTTAGACGAAGCTATTTGTACATATCCTTTTATTGCTGTTTGCGCATTAAAGTTTTGACACTAACATTTAATCATTTGTTTCTTAATAAATGCAATAACCCCAACTTTGATATAAACCTGCATATAATACACGCGTATTCTTCAGTCAAATCATTCATACATAGCGTTCTTTTACCATACAATGGTTTCCAAAATTTTAAAAGACTCCCGAGTCCATTTATTCAAAAATATAGAATAATAAAAATATAAAATAATAGGAATATAGAATAAAGAAAACATAAACTATAAATATATAAGATAATTAAAATTAGAATAATAGATATATAGAATAATGAAAATATAAATAATTAAAATAATTAAGATATAGAATAATAATTTATAGAATAACAAAAGCACCACTCCTTAACATGCTTCTCACCGGGACATCAGCAGGTTGCCCGGCATCTAGTCACAAACCGAACGCAACAACATGTGACAACAGTGACGATCTTCTTGTTTGTTACAATGGCGTAAGTAAACAATCACTTTATCACATAAATCAGGCAGTCTTCGGCACTTTCCGTATTAAATAAAACCTTTTGGGACAATATTGTTTTCCTCCTGTTTATATTTCAACATTTGACCTCCATCGGACACGGACGGTGGCAAAAATTGCCGAATTTACACGATATATTGGTTGGTGATATGTCTCTTTAGGAGTCTTAGTTTGTTACACGATACTCTGTGTCGCCGTTATATGTCGCAACGACGCTAAGTGTCGCACTTGCCGCTAAATGTCGCACTATTGCCGCCAAATATCACAACCACCGCTAAATGTCTCAAAAGATTTTGCCGTTTAATGTCGCAATGATGAGTTAACGTAATCTTCTTACAACTCTACAGTTTAATGTCGCAATATTTAAATTAAGGATTAACAACTGGTATTATGTCAATATTAACTTTATGTAGGTGATCTCTATAAGATAGGAAAGGAATTGAAATTGAAGTCATCTTAATATGGCATAATTATATGTATTTTGATGATGTCATTATATTCAATTTTTAATGTTACAAATCCATGTATGTTGAATGCATTCTTATTCATAGATTTGTTTACTGTCATGTGAATATTTCAAAATCTGTGTATACTCTGCTTCGTTTTATATTGCTGCTTATTTAACAGAACTAAAACACTGCAAATGCGAATACATGATATTGCTTTATTGCACATTTCTATAAATTCAACAGAATCATTATTCAATTGCATGTGTGCTATTGCTAGATTGCATGTTGCTTCTCACTTAACAGAATTTCTGAAATAGAAAAACAAAAACAGAATATTCATATAGGGACAAAAAAATAACGACTTAAAAACAACATACAAACATAAAGATCAACACACATGGATTGTAACATTTAGACATTACATGTTATCAAGTTACATATAATTCTGGCGGACATTTCCCTCCATAGTACTCATCACTCCTTTGAGCTGCATGCCTCTTTAATAAAACCTAACCACCTTCAAATTGTCAAGTTGTTCTGCCGGGAACCGTGAAGCAGTTAAGTTTTCCACGTCACAGACGAAATCTGCGGTGTATTTAAGACAGTTTGTAATATTATAATTTTTAAAAGTTTAGTGGCATGCGTCATTTTTAAAGCTAGCACCACATCAACAAGCAAAGTATTTAAATAACGGCGAATGGAAAGGGCTAGATGATAGAACTGAATAGTGTAAACATTCATGTTAAAATATAATTTGTGGTTAAAATGCAAATTTGTTTATGAAAAAGTTAAGTCTGTTCTAACATAACAGCATAAAATAAAGCACATTCAGGGGGCCTTTAAATAACATTACTGCAGACATTTGCAATTAAATATGACCCAGTGACATGTCGCATTCTTTTATTTGCTTAATTTGTGTTATAATAGCCTAAGTTAAACCGTCGCATTCAGTGCTTTCAGCGCTTTGATCTATATTGCATTAAGTGTTAATGATCATATCATTTTCTTTTATCATCCAATTGAATTCAATGACAAGTTTCTCATTTAACTTCAAACGTTTCATAATGCAAAATAGCTCGTTGATTTGCTTTAAATGTTTGAAATCGGGAGAATTGTACGTGTGCTTGGGTTACCATAGCAGCTCATGAAAGTTTCGGAATTCAGTCTCGGTTTTAGGAAAATTCTACAAGAAGATTATCACACCATGTGATATACTTAAGAATTCCGGATACCCTCCACTGAATTTCAATTGTATTTTAAAGTAACAGCAAAGTTATCTTTGAAAATATTACTTAAATCTAGTGACGATGTATAAAAAGTCACATGGGTTGGCTACCTAAGTAGATGTGTAAAAATTTAACTGCAATACTTTTTTGTTTGTCATTGAAGTAATAATGTATATAGGACTTTCAAAAACAGTATCAGAGCGGGCGCTATGGTGCAATGGTAACACTGTCTGCCTACCAATCAAGGGGTCGTGAGGTCGATCCCCCGCTTCTCCAATGAAATGAATAACAGACTGACTGAACATAGAACTCTATAGACTTATCGAATAGAACATACAACATAGACTAAAAGATTAAAAAACATATGCAAATTTGTTTATGAAAAAGTTAAGTCTGTTCTAACATAACAGCATAAAATAAACCACATTCAGGGGGCCTTTAAATAACATTACTGCAGACATTTGCAATTAAATATGACCCAATGACATGTCGCATTCTTTTATTTGCTTAATTTGTGTTATAATAGCCTAAGTTAAACCGTCGCATTCAGTGCTTTCAGCGCTTTGATCTATATTGCATTAAGTGTTAATGATCATATCATTTTCTTTTATCATCCAATTGAATTCAATGACAAGTTTCTCATTTAACTTCAAACGTTTTATAATGCAAAATAGCTCGTTGATTTGCTTTAAATGTTTGAAATCGGGAGAATTGTACGTGTGCTTGGGTTACCATAGCAGCTCATGAAAGTTTCGGAATTCAGTCTCGGTTTTAGGAAAATTCTACAAGAAGATTATCATACCATGTGATAAACTTAAGAATTCCGGATACCCTCCACTGAATTTCAACTGTATTTTAAAGTAACAGCAAAGTTATCTTTGAAAATATTACGTAAATCTAGTGACGATGTAAAAAAAGTCACGTGGGTTGGCAACTAAGTAGATGTGTAAAAATTTAATTGCAATACTTTTTTGTTTGTCATTGAAGTAATAATGTATATAGGACTTTTAAAAACAGTATCAGAGCGGGCGCTATGGTGCAATGGTAACACTGTTTGCCTACCAATCAAGGGGTCGTGAGTTCGATCCCCCGCTTCTCCAATGAAATGAATAACAGACTCTACAGACTTATGTAATAGGACATACAAACATAGACTAAAAGGTTTAAAAACATAAAGATACAAACTAAACTAACCATAATACAATTCGAAAGACTTAACGGAAAAGAAGAAAAGAGACAGAATAAGACTAATAAGAATAATGGAACTATACAGGAACAGCAAACAAACACTGATAACAGAACAGAAGAATTAATGGAATACGAAAAAGACCTCCTCCAACCAGGAGGCGTATCATCCAAGGGAAACTTCAAGGGTTCGGATAAACATGAGGACAAGCTCACATCTGGTAAAAGGTCAGGGAAAAGTGGAAGAAACTTGTTGTTTGGCAAGAAGAGGATAACAAAGTAACGGAATACGCAAAAACGGAATATGTTAACAACTACAGACAGCAAAAGCATTAAAAGAAATAAGACATAAGAACCGAACAATAGTCCACAATTACAAAACTACAGAGATGTGCAAGACACGTCTTACAGACAACAACAGACAAGACAAAAATAATAGAACATAAACCAAAGCGGAAATCAAAGCACAGAAGGCGCTGAATTTGTTTGGGTCTCAGAATGCCAGAAAGGTGAAGGTTGTGTGATTATAAACCAATTTGTTTTTGTATAGTGCCACCAATGCTTTCCAGTGTTTTAACTGTAGTAAATTTGTAGTAATTTGACTTAAACAATTTAAAAAAATGAGTTGACCTTAACTCCAGACCTCTCGATTCATAAGCGAGCGTGCAAACCCCTCGGCCACGGTGAATATATATGTAAACGGCCTGAAGAAAACCATACTATTCTAAATTAGGGTTTGTAACTCTTATTATTTCGACGCTAAACCTGTTGTTTAACACAGATGTAAATAATCATGGAGCTTACTATAAGCATGTAAATCTATAAAGAATAAAACAATATTAGAAATCTTCGACCATTCGGGAACTATTTTGCTTGAAAATTAATGCACCTGTCATATAATAATCTTTACGCATTGATCTCCCTGAATTTTTCGGCGTAAGTGTACATATAAAGGGAAGTAACCGCTTTAAAAAAGCGGACTACTTTCGGCATTTGCAATTAACAGCATCAGAGTCTGAAATTTCACTACCATTATTTGTTTGGTCTGACGACCCAAACAAATAAAAACAACAATGTAAATGACAATAAGAGACATAACAATATATACCGGAGAGGACAGATAAACGTCTGCCTACAAAACCTCTACTCCACTAGAATCACTAAGACGGATAAAAGGGATAGAATGGAACAGATACAGGACAAGAAAAATACTAAGACAATAAGACAAAAACACATGAGTAAAAATAAAACAGAACGAGAATAACAAAAATAATCAATTGCAAAATAACTTCACGTCCGGCCGAACAGAACATAAAATGGAACAAAACATAGAATAACAAAACAACAAATTAAACGGAAAAAGACTTAACTTAAAAAAAAATTGACACTAGAAATTTTACCGACCATATCAATATTTTTGTCAGCATTTCTTTAAAATGCACCCATTCTAGACCAATTCACCGGGTCGGCAGATGGACAGATGTCCAAAAACTACTAGATATGTGTAGACATTTACTCACTATTTTTTGTAATTTAATACCATTAGCTTACTAATTTTATCATGAATCTTACGACATAAAACGGTCGTGTTGCGACATTTAACGACAAAGGAAAATCATGCGCCATTTAACGTAACCATTGCGAGATTTAACGGCAGAAGATTTTACAACAAATTAGCAGCCGTAACGACATTTGCGTGCGACATTTAACAGTACCACGTGCACGATAATCTGAATGCATAGATTTGTCTTAGAATTACAGTCACCACACACTGTGTACGTGTTCTATTCCTCATAAATTAGAATACATGTAACAGTAATGTACCGGTTATATTCGTCATAAAATATAATTCATATGTTACAGGAATGTACGGGTTCTATTCCTCATAGATTACAGGAATGTACGGGTTTTATTCCTCATAAAATAAAATTCACATGTTACAGAAATGTACTGGTTCTGCTTTATATAAATAAAAATCACATGTTACAGGAATGTACGGGATCAATTTGTCTGGTTTATGGGCGGGAATCGTGTCAATGTTCACCAGACTCCCCTAGTAACTGGAAAGACGAGAAGTTATGCCAGGTGTGTTGTATGGATGGAAACACCTGCAAGTAAGTAGACCATATTAATAATTATTATCATATTGTCTGATACAATTTGTGACAACATTTGCAGTAAATTATTTAACTTAACTTAAAGGCACATTAAGCAGAATTTTTTTTTCCTTTTGTAGAAAGCACAAACATGTGCTTTATAATGTAATAATATTTAGAACATCTAAAGGAATGAATAACGTTGAAATGTGAAATAATTTGTAATAAAAGGAGCAAAATGATAACAAACTGGAACATGTATTTTGACTTACTTTACTTATTGCCAAAACGCAAAAGAAGCCACAAATGGTTCAGGTATATGGTTACTGAATATCAAACCTTCTATAAACTTAATCCTTGGTCAAAAACAAAAGCTTTTGAAAAATAATAAATAAAGTGTTTTATGCCTAGTGGGTATTTTTGAAGTATAACAATCATATATGAACGGTCGCCCTTGGGGGGAAAAGACAATTAAAACATATCTAAAGAAATTGTTTTTATTTGCTGTAATTTTTACTCTTTGTAATATACGAATCCTTATTTTGCCATGCCTTTATACACAATGCACAATAAGCACGAATTTACCCATGATTATTTGAAATCTAAGATTTTTTATATTAAAATATCAGATCATCATATGAGTTAGATGACGTACCAGACGCCAAGTCGTTGGCGGGACAGCCATGTAATGATTATCAAGGATATTGTGACGTCTTTAAAATTTGTAGACAGGTAGGTATTGTTTCTGCATGAGATGTAATAATATAGCAATTACTCATTGTCTTGTCCTGTATTTGATTTCATTGGGTTTCAGTATCATATTGAAATGTAAATTAATAGCTAGTAGGGCGTCGTCTTTTTTTTTTGGACGTTCAAACAGGCACTCTTAACTGTGACACGGGCACTTTTTCTTCTTGAAATTATTGACGCTCGTACTCATGACAATTCTTTTGAGTTGTCAGGAAGCATAAATACGGTACTTCTCATAGATAGACAATGTTTTTTTTTAGGTAAATTACTTTTATTGCAGAATTTTATTGAAGTCTAGGAAATTCAAACTGAACATTTTAACTGGAATAAGAGAGTGCACTAACCATGTTTGGGAAGCTGTATTGTTAAGTTAATTTGATCCTTTCTCAGAAAATTTTTACCTATATCATATAGACTTTAAAACGTAACATATCTTCTCTGTGTGTACTCAAAAAATGTTATTTTACATTAGAATAAAAAATGTATTTTAAAATATTCTTCGTCGTTATCATATAAAGGTTAGCCCTGAAGGTCCACTGAGTAATCTAAAAGCGTTGCTGTTCTCTGGAGACGCGATAAATGCCGTCAAAGATTTCTTGGTTAAACACTGGTACATCGGTCTAATATTCGGATTTGTGTTTATCGTCACAATCGTAAGTATTGACGTTGTCATTCTAGTTAACAATTGCATGCAATAATATATCAATGTAATAATATCATTATTAATAATAATACAATGAATGTATGCAACATATTTACAGAATATATTTGCCAAAGTTTGCAGATCAATTTAAAAGTATAAGAACCCTTTGTTGCTTAGAGAACTTATTTTCAAAATAAATGAAAGATAGCATATATATGGCAAATCTTGAGCTTAATATGATATAAGGATGACTGCCAATATCCGATTATACCAACAGTTCCTGAATAAACTTTATTATTACATAACCTATATTTTTATATTATCATTATTTCTGTATAATATTACAGATAATGAGATTTGGCAATATATTATTATATAAATTTACCATTGCACAGTTAAAAATGTATAATTAAAGTATCATACTTTTAAACCGGAAAAATCAGATGTGATTTAAGAGGATTCAATATCAAAAATGTTTTAAATTAAGAAGCCAACCAAGACTTTGACAATGTGCAGGAAAGCTGACCTCGGCTGCGTTTTATAGAAAGTCGGTGACCAAAACTGGGATTCTCCTATGTTATGATTGTTTCAATTTCTGAAAACAGATTGTACAATAAACACTTTGCGAATAAAACGATTTTTCATTGTATTTTTGATGTTTCTCAAGAAAGTTAATTAATTTTCTACAGTCTTTGTCTGAAGGGTAAAAACATTTTTTGAAATGGTCTTAAGTTAATTTCATGTCCCAGAACTTAGAATACACTGAATATTTTCTATTTAACGCAGGACTGGTACATGCATAATAGTTGTGGATTAGGTACGCCATTGTGGCCGTCATGGCTGCAAACATTTAAAAGGTTTAACTAATATTTGCACTCACTTTCAAATATATATGTACTATGATATTTTCACTTATTAATACTAATGTAAGTACATTTATATTGTTTTATCATATGCACACTTATATATTCATATATTTCACAGGTGCTGGTTGTAAAATTTTGTTCAAAGTCCCATAAACCTGTAGATCGGGATAATGGCAGACATTCGAACAATACGAGAGCACCAAAACCTAATCAAGTCTATCCAGACAGCTATATGTAGAGCGAACATTATTTTTACATTCTTTTGGCACAAATTTTCAAATTCTACAATGTGCCTACGACAGTTACTTTCAATTGTAAAACAATTCAATTATAACACAATTTACGTACCCAAAGTACAGATAGGTTTGTGTCTCAGACTGATGCAGTACGCACAATACGTAGGTTAAAATGTATCCAACGGATGCAATGTGATTCAACGTACATGTATGCAGTAAAAGGCAGTGAAATACTAATGATAGAACAAGGAGCAAAAACATAGAAGAACAGATACTGATTTTGTATTTAGAAGGTGCCTTTCAATTTCCCAAGATATTGTTGATTTTTGACTGATATTGATGTATGCTAAATAATTGTTATTTATATTTTTATACTTTCTTAAATTGTTTGCAATATTTCCTAAATGAAGACTGTGATATGATGTTTATGTTGTTAGACTGTATTGATATAAAATCACTTTTTACAATTAGAATTAACCAACTCGAGTGTTTTACACAATGTCAGATTCTAAGAAAATCTTTACAAATTGTTTATTTCATTTCCTAAGCAAGACTTGATAAATGTCTAAAATAAAAAAAAACAACATTAAGTCCAATTGGTTGTTTCACATAATTAAAGTTTCACTTATAAGTGTAAACTATTTAATTTTTTATACATGTATTTAGAACAACCGTAATTGTAACATAAGATGAAAATGAAATGTTTGTGTTTTATTTGTTTGTACTTTTTTAAGATTGATGTTTATACTTCTATTGTATTAAATTTCAGGAAAAATAAAATGATTTCTAAATATTTATTACTTCTTTTCATCAAGGTCATCTTAAGGATTCTATCACGTAAAGGTATAGTTTGCAAATCCAAGCACCAAGATTTAATAAAAGACGGCGAGAAACTTGATGACGAAAACGATTCACCAAATACTATTTTTGCAACTGACTTGTCAAGACAAAATGGCCGCAGTTCCTTTCACAACAGTTCGTCAAATTTCGCATCGAGGCAAGATACGCAAAGTCCGGCAATGTTTGGAGGATCCCATATATCAGCGGTTGCAAGACATGGAATGCAAAGCGACGCTATACGACAATATATATCAAAGCAAGGAACGCAAAGCAAAGAAACACCAGGGTTATATACACGAGACATTCTGAACAGGGCCATACGGGAAAGTACATCTCGGCAAAATGCACAAGGCAAGGCAACGCCAGCACAGTTTGCACGTGAAGAAGATATTAGAAGAGAGGCGAGTGAAAGGCTTTCGTCTATGTATACAACAAAAACCGAGAAAAAGCCATCAATTGCATCAAAACTTCGGCATTCAAATGATACTTCATCACACGATCGAATACAATTTAAAGCATTACAACAATTTCAAAACATACCGCAATCAAACGGGAGGGAGGAAACCAACTCTGACAAACAACAGCCATTGGGAAAGGTCAAAACTATTGTTGTTTACACACAAAGAAAAGGTCAAGCAAATGCGCCGGTATCAAGATCGTCAGAAATGCAAAGACCAAGATAAATTATTTATGTTACAAACTTGTACTAGAAATATGTCTGCTGCCTGAAAATTATAAAACAATCACTATGTACTAATTTAATGTAACTGAATATAAGTTGAAATCACATTGTAAAGACATCTTGTGCAAACTCTGATTCTGAATCATGATGGCTTCATAACTATATTGCTCCATGTTTGTCTGATATATGGCTGCTGGATAGCTAACCCATGTCATTTCGGTCAAAGTGAATGGGGTATTCTAGTATATAATTCAATATAAATACTGAAATGATTTTCTTTAATTAAGTTAAACGCCAAAAGTATTTGTCTCGGGTGTTACAAACGTTGTGTTAAATCTCTCTTATTTTCCATAATTTTCCCAACTGATTTTTTGCAAAAAGTAATAAACAGCAGATTAAGCTTCATCCCAGGTACATTCTTGTCATTCATATTTGAGCCACGCCACGACAAAGCCAACATAATGAGTTTGCGACCAGCATGGATCCAGACCAGCCTGCGCATCCGCGCAGTCTGATCAGGATCCATGTTGTTCGCTTACAAACCCTATAACAAGAAGTGAAACTGATAGCGAACAGCATGGATCCTGATCAGACTGCGCGGATGCGCAGGCTGGTCTTGATCCATGCTGGTCGCAAACCCATTATGTTGGTTTTGTCATGACGCGGCTCATTTAAAGAAAATCTTTCCAGTATCTAAATCGATGGTATTTTAGCATTGTTCCGCTGTTCACTTTGCTCTAAACAAAGAGTCACGTGTGTTTCCCACCCTATATATACATTTAACTGTGTGGAATGGTGACTCGTTATTAACTATAACGTTCCACGTTTCAAATAGGTTGGCTTGGTGAAAACAACCTTGAGATTCTTTCACTTTAGTTAAACAGGGCGTAAATCTTTAATTCTTTAAACAAGGGACAAGGTTATAAACACGTATACTTTCATCGAAAAGAAAAACTACTTAAAGCAGATTAACGTTGGTATTCTATTTTTTCTTTCAAATTAACTCATTATTTAATTATAGCAATTAATTATCGAAAACGTTTTCTTCGGAAGACATACAAGACGGCATTCGCATAAAAAATAACAATTCTGTTATCCCGTACTTCGCTTAAGAAGTACTTGTACTAAAAGGTTAAAGCTGAAACAATCATGAAGCACAAATAGAATTTTAATTTGATGATGAAATTTACATAATACTAAGTATTTTACACAAGCTATAAATTCACATAAACATTTATGACAAAAGAACAGATAAGTTAATATAAAGCACTTCCAGTTGTCGGACATTAACTGTAGCGTTTATGGCGTCCTGTAAATATTTCAAGTTTATTGGCCATCGGCCTCAATACATAATTTCGTATTAAAAAGATGTAAATCTGGTCGCGTCACAAAGAATGGTTATATTTAGTGATGTTCCGATTGTCGCAAGTCGCTGATAATCAGTTACTGTTATGTAAAGCGACAATAATCGATTCACAAGAAATTGTTCCGCGACGTCGTCGAAAATGTTTAAAGTATCAAAACAAATTAATTCTGACGGTAATTTTCTTTTAGGAACACCTCGCCGATCACAAAAAAATTATCTCAGATCAATACGTGATGTAAACAATAGTAATATAATGTGATGTGAATGTTATTATTTGACATCCATTGGAAAAATAAATCTAATTCGTAAAATAATAACTAAATAGGGTTAAAACTGTGTTGAAAAGTGCTAAATGAAGTTCATGTTACTGAATATAATCAAGTGCCTTGGGAAAAAATGTGTCTTCCCTATTTCTTTTTAACGCGACTTTAATCGGAAAGTTATCGATTATGTCCCATCCGATTGAACCGATGATCGATTGGGACAAATTTCATCCGATTTCCATCACTAGTTATATTCAATACAATAGCAGAATATATAGTCAGCATTGTATAACAAGGTAGAAAATAATACATAGTATAAAGCATATACAAAAACACATAGTGTCAAGTTCAGAGAAATAATACACTAAACAAAAACATATCAAAATATCAGAAACAAAATGTAGTTTACAATTACGTATTTGTTTGGAATTGCATACAGTGCTGAACTTTTTATTGTAAGATGGTGATAGGTTTTCAATTAGTATGCTGTAGTCTTCACTTTACCAATTAAACTGATAACGGTGTCTTATATTATTAAATATTGGGCAAATAAAAAAGGCATGGTATTCATTTTCAATAACTATACAGTTACTATTATAATTAAACAAGCAATAGTGACATATTCTATATGATCTCTGAATGCCATAGTGTCGCCATAACCGGTGGATCGCGCCATTGATTTTCTAAACGGAAATGGCAGATCAATTGATATTCATATGCACAGCCAGTCATGGTATAACGGACGCTACTTAAAACAAGATTGCACTTGTGAAAATATGCTATGCCACCACATTAATACAATACTAAATACATGTAGTAGGAACAGAAGTATATTTTGTTTGTTTCTATACAATTGAACTGCCATAATGCAGGAGTGTTTGGGGTCAATGTCTTATTTCAGCATGTCAAATGAAAGACAATAAGCAGATGTGTCTTATGTTCAGATACAAAGGCAATAGTAAAATAATTTAGGCAAAATAAAAGTATTCTAACTTCATAAAAAAAACTTGTGAACGTTTTTGTTTTTTAGAAAAATTGCATAACATGAACACATGTATGAAAGAGTTTTTTCATTATTTAACTCATAGGCTTGTCTTTTTATAGCAATGGAAAAGGCATGGCCTTCTGGAAAAGAGCCAATTTTGATATTGAATAATGTTAATAGAGGTTCACTAGACAATGTTTCATGCTAAAAGCCCTAGTAGTTTTTAAGAAAAAGATTGTTAGAATATTTATAATATACATATAAGGAAAACACATTACCCCTGAGGCAGGGCCCATTTTGAACCCCAAGGCTATTTTTTGAACAATTTTGGTGGAGGTCCACTCCACAATGCCTTGCGCACAATACCTATGCTCTAGGCCTTTTAGTCCAAGAGAAAAAAGCTTTTTTTAAGATATTCTATTATTCCTTTCGGTTACCATGTCAGATTGTGGTGGCAGATATACAATCTTTTACTTAATATTTTGGTTTGAACAGTCACGTGACACGCATCTTATAAGAACCATGAGTTCGCGGTAGAACTCGAATTTTCATTTGTTTAGAATTCGAACAGTCACACGTTTATAAATTGACATAGACAAGTGGAACATTATTAATTTACCTAGATAACGTGATATCATGTATTGTGCCATATTTATGTTTGTTGGGGTCACATTCGCGATTACATTTCACAACGCTATGCTCGTTGAAAGAATATAACGTATTTTTTCCGGAGCTCAACGTCAGAAAACATTCGTCTGATTCCGTTGCGAAATTAGCCGAAACAATAGTTTGGAGGCTCGTTTTAGCGGCAGCGTAAGTCACGAAACTCAAGCCCAAAAAATATAGCCATCGGAGGCCAGCATGTCAAGGTCGCTTTTTCGTTTGGCGATTTGTTTTTTCTCTACATAAAGTCTTCGAATTTTTCTAAAAAGCACTATTTTCTACAGATCACCAACAGAAAACAGTTCATTTGATTCCGTTGCAAATTAGCCATAACAATAGATTGAAGGTTCGTTTTACGGCAATATAAATCACAAAGCTCTAGCTCAAGAAATGTGTCCCCCCCCCCCCCGACGTCCGCGTGGCGTCAGCGTGTTTTTTCACCTCCGATTTGTTATTTCTCTATAAAAAGTGTAAATGTTTTCGTAAAATAAAGTACCATTTTTCCCGTGCTTACTGTTTAAACACCATTTGTTTGATTCCTTTGTGGATTGGCTCTTGCAATAGTTTGGAGGTTCAGTTCTTTACAGCAATATAAGGCACAAGAGCTCTAGTCCAAAAATTTTGGTCTCGAGAGGCCTGCATGGCAGGATCGTTTTATGGATCGATTAAAACACCATTTTTTATTCCGTTGTGGATTGGCTTAAAGTTTCTTCTTTACAGCAATAAGGTACAAAGCTCATATCCACAGGAAATGGCCTCAAAAAGCTTGCATGGCAAGGTCGTTTTAAGGATAGGCGATTTGTTCTTTCTGTATATTCTTAGATCGACTGAAAATTTCGTGATTAAGATATTGTGTGACACGAACGCGCTCATAAGAGCACGTTATTGCAAGAAATTAAGTATGCCATGTACAGTGATTCATACTAAAATGCTACGTAGTTTAAAAACAAATCCAGTAGTTTGTTCTCGTTTGAAAATTCATCTTCTTTACAGCAATATAAGGCTCAAATATATAAGGAAAAATGACGGCGAGGCATAGTCGCTTTTAGCATTGGCGATTTGTTCTTTATGTACATGTATGTAAAATGGTATACATTTTCGTAATAAAAATCGCAACATTATTTAGAGTCAACCGTTAAAACACCATTAAATTTGCCAAAGAGTAACTTTTTTGAAACTGTATGAAGACATTTTATGAAATAAAAAAGCATTTTTGGGACATAATGGACCGATGGTTCGATCTATTTGTGTACCCGCTCAGCCTGAAATAATGCAAGAAGAGGCACCTGAGGTAAAGCAGGAAAGACAAACGGGGTGAATTCTGCATGGATTTTGATTTCCAGCATTTGTAAAAAGCAAAGGTTAATTTCCGCTGCTCCATATCTGCAATATAACCTCCATATGTGAAAGCGCAAAAAGTTTTGAATAAGGATCCCCTCCAATATCAATAGCATAAGGTTAAAATAGTGGCCTCAGAGCATGTTTGATGTCTTTCACCAGAAAAAATAGCGCTGAATGTAGAATTGTTTGTCATAAAAGGAGCAAAATGTTAACAAAGAACATACAACTATAGATACTAACCACAGAACAGAGCTTACAACGGGAAAGATTAACGAAACATACAACAAAAGACTTGGCACGTAGAAATTCGACATTGTAGGAATGAATAAGCCTTTGTGTACCTTAAAATGATAATATGTCAGAGTATTAGCCTTTTTGTAGATGTGTAGGAAACCAAAAGATTATCCAGTCACAATTTGTTAATTATGGATTAGCCTATATTGATAATTTCGTCGCGCGAACCTGTCGCTCATTGCTTACCAATGTACGAGTGTACAGAAACGTTTTTTCTAAAAAAAGCATGTAAACATCATGTTATATGAAAATCGGTATAGGAAAAGACCATCATCTGATAAAAACTACCGGTTATCCTGTATATTTAAATTCAGTCACAAGCAAGCACCCAAGCTTTCAGCTCACCATCAGGGTAGCTCTCTCAGTAACACAGACATCAAATATAACATTTGACCGGGTTTTGAAATTCAGACCGTCTACCAATCGACTAAACCCTTTCTTCTCTACATATTATTTATTGAACATAAACTTTCACTTGTATATGTATAATCTCCCTTTATTAGACGCGCACTTTAAGTTGTACTCTTTTAAGTTCACAAATATCAGATATGATTTGTCCGTCCCGAACCATTACTTGAAAGTCAAGAACCAATCTTACTAGTATTTGTATATGATTGTTACAGTGTATAATTCATTTAGGTCTGTCTGACCTGTGTGTATGGAGTGCAGGTAACGTACGAAGGACTGTTGCAGAATTAAAATATCGATACGGTTCTAAACTTTCAGCTAAAATAAGTGTATCCTTATATTATTTTTTTCTGATACAAAAATCTAGATTCAATTTTCTTTATCTTTTCATTGGTTATGAAAATAGAGTATCGATGCAGTGAAAAAAATTAGTAGCGTACAACATAACAAGAAAAAATATTTAGTGGCGTAAATTCTTTTACATTAATTAACGAATTATTCGTATTAATTATGTGTCAAAACAAAAATTTGAATTTCATAGTTAGGCTACTCAATTCTATCTTAAATATATAATTCAAATTTATGCTAGAACTTTAATTGATATTTCGATAATTTTAGATTTACGAAGCTACCATTGACCTTAGTGTCCTTGATAGCTTTACATAGAGAAATGAACATGGCAAACGTTTTAAAAAATGTTAGCAGACAGCATAAGTTTTTAGTTGAATTTACTCTTAATTCTTCCAGTATGACATCATTTTTGAATTTCGGAATCAAACGAGAGTCATGCAGGCATTTTTCAAAATTAATTCGGCGTGTATGTCACATGAAAACTCGGGTAAGTTGCTGAGAAAACTTTTAAACGATTTTCAAAGTCAACCGGCTTGCGTAATTTTACATGTATGTTTCAAATGTTTCTGCAGTTGATTTCATTAAAGCTTAAAATGCAAACTAAAGGCAAACAAAATGTTCAAAACAAATTAATTTATTCTCAACTTTTAGATCATTTTGCTGTGTTTTTACTTTTTTTAACCCTGTAATTTTCCCCACCCACTTTTGTTTTATGTAACACATAATAATAATTTCACATATCCTATATGGCAAGGTTAAAAAGGTTTAGCCAGGAACCAGGTTGTATCGATCTATTTATCCATAAATCACAACTGCATTTTAAAAATTCAAATCTCCCTTAATATTTATTTTGTATCATTTATTTTGATCCTTTTGCCATAATATTAACATGGCAAACATCACTGATATATAGTTTTTAGCTTTGAATTATACGGATATTTAAGGACATGTCAAACAGGTTGATGAATTAGGTCACGCCATTATATCGATGCATTGTGAGAATCGCTCAGTTAGCCAAAGTTTGGTAAGCCTTAACCATCTTTATGTTAGATATTTCAGTCAATTAGAAACATAGATGTCTGTTTTAAAATGTCAGCATAAATTTAGGAACTTTTAACACACAGCAAATGTACTTTTAATAAGAAGACATTATTTATATATCTATTTATTATCTACAACGTCTTACAGTACTGGAAAAATGGTTTTGATCATTTTACTGCACAAAAATAAATGCGAAAGATTTTCGTGACACTCTTGTAAATGTTAACAATCAGTAGGTGACGTATTTTGCAAAATATCTAAAGATTTGTAAATAGATCGATACAATGAATAGCACGATACAATGGTGTTCCACTATATATGGAATGCTGTATTATCGACATAGTTCCACTATGTCTGCAATGAGTTCCAATTGTAAATTTACTTAACACAGATTAATTACAGGGGCGCCTGTGGCCGAGTGGTTAACAGGTTAAGGTTGTTGTCTTGAAACCACTTAACCCTCACAGCTGTGGGTTCTAATATCGAGAGGGATTTTGGATTATTTCATGTGAGGACGCTATCCAGCTAGCTTAAGGAATGTCTGTTGTTCTACTCAGGTACCCGTGAAAGCCTGAAATAATGCTGGGAAGGGCACTTGAGATCTTCCTCCACCAGTAAAGCTGGAACATAGAGATATGACCTATACTGTGTTGGTGTGACGTAAAACCCAAACAAACAAAAGTCACAGATTGATTACTTGTTACTTTTTATCATGGACAAACCAGTTCTCAAACCTCTAAGCATTCAACTTTAGTAGAAATGAAAATATATCTTTATAAAAAAATCTTTACATATTTACACTTTAATCTTTATGTAGCATTTCTGTAAAATTTGGCAGAAATCCAACAGCTGTTATTTCCATTTTGGAAAAGCACAACACTTTTTGTACAAACTGACATGGCCTCTTAAAATAAAGAACCAACAGTACAGCTTTAACAATTTTTCCAAAGTTTGCCAATCCCCGCAATTTTGTTTTGGGTGGATTGTCATGGCAATGTCCCTGCTACAGTGGTTATTTTCCGCTCATCACATAGATTTACTTCTATTTGAAATACCCTGCTGTTGTCATTTAAATTTACTGAGATTGCTAGAAAAACAAAACAGAGGCAGATGCAATAGTAAAAAACTGGAAAATGTGATTTAGGTAAATGGGAATTTCATATTTGCCTTTTTCAGAGAAGTTTGTGCCTTGCAAAAGTATCATCAAGGATTGAGTCAGTAGGGAGATGTTTAAGCACCAGCACAGACACAGATCCAAGTAAGCGGACAGTAGACCCATACAGTCTTGTTGAAACTGAGATTAACAATATAACACAAGATATTAAAAAGGTAAGTTACGTGTAAAAGAGAGATTTGGTTAAACAAATACATGTCATGATCAAATCAAATCAAAATTTATTTATTGTCGGTATACATATATAACATTTTACAAAACATAAGCTATGTATAGCTTTTGACCGACATATGTGATGTGTCTTTTACAGGTTGTTATAACAGGGAACAAATTTATTATACAAAAAAAAGATGTTAAACATTTACAGATGTTACGAGATGTACATTATAACGAAGTGTAGTTGGTATAAGAAATATTAATTTTCAATGGCCCTGCTATATTGGCATTCAACAATTGGATGTTCAAGCATGCTTGAACCTTCCTTCCTTTAGATTCTTGTTGTATTATCACTATCAATTTATGCTTGCTTACTGAAAGTAAAGCTGGAAAGTCACCACATGACCTGTACTGTGTAAATGCAAAAACCCAACCAAAAAAATATCAATTTATGCTTTTCAGGAATTACTGACTGTAAATCCAGAATTACTGTCTGTGGCTGAGTATTATTTTGATGGACAAGGAAAATTGTTTCGTCCTATGTTGATAATGCTGGTGGCGAAAGCACTCAACTTCCATGTGTGCAATGATGACAGGTGTGATTATTTATATTTAGTAAGCTTTAATTTAGGGCCTTATTCACAGTCAGGTGAAAGGGTCTTTTCCCTAAATTTGGAGGAAATAATAATAATTTTGCATAAAGACAAAGAATGTGTAAATTGGTGTCAATTGAATTTGCTGAACAAAAATGTAAGTCTTGTACAAAATACAAATTTTTCATGTTGGCTATGGAGAGTCTGAGAGTACTTGTTTTTCCATGATGACTTTATTTCTAAGAAGATAGGGGGCATGATGGGGTTTTGGGAGGGAAAAGCAGAACATGCACACAAGGTCTTTGACTATTCTGCTTTTTGAAAAATAAATGGGCATTTGTGTACTTTTCACACCATGGAAGCAGGATAAAGGCTAGGCAGTGGTATTAACATTGCTTCAATTACATGTAGTTTAAGAAAAACCCGACAAAAATATAATTTAAAAAATATTTTTTGTGCCCCCAAGCATATAGTAATTGAACCGTCCGTCTTTCTTACGAGGTAAACCTAGAACTGCAAGTTAGATTTTTCTTATGTTCTACCTGTACCAATGGCTTCATAATTTACACACTTACTAATCCATAGAAAGTTTATGATCTGGGCAAGTTACATAACTATGGCTTCCATTTGCACCAAGTTATGGCCCTTTTCAGCACTTAGAAAACGAATAGTGGTTAACCTAAAACGGCAAGTTGAAAATATCTTAAGTTCTATCTATACTAATGGCTTTATAATTTCCACACTTACTTATCAATACAAAGTGCATGATATTGCCAAGTTATATAACTGTGTCATCCATATTTCCCTTTTTTCACTTTGAAAATAGGGCCTTGTCTGGTTAACCTATTTTGGCAAGTTGGATTTATCTTAAATTTCTCCTAATTGTTTAATTTCTTTAATGATATCTTTCATATTTAGTAGGTGGATACCTTTGATGGTCCTCTAATTTTTTGTGGAGTAAGCGGTCTCTAGGGTCAAGGTCAAGGTCACTAATAAATAGATATAAACATTTTTGCTCATACAGCCTTTATTTCGTAGTTGATGTCTTAGTTTAATACAAACATGCCAAGGGAGGTCCTTCTTCTTTGGGTGTAGTAAGGGGTCATTTGGGTCAAGGTCAATGTTACCAATGACAAAGTCACCAATGTTAAAAATAGATTTTTACATTTTTACAGGTGTATTAACCTTATTCTATAGACAGAGGTTATTTATAATTGATAGACACATAAAATTTGATGGAGTTAGTGGTCAGTTGGGTCAAGGTCACCAGTGCTAAAAATAGATTTTTTACACATTTGCTCATATCAATCAATCAATCAATCAATCATAGGTATTTTTATAGCGCGACACTTTATACAGTTATATTCTGTTGCGCTTCACAAGATCCTATAATGTCAAAGTCATTTCCACAGTTTAAAACTATATACACATTTGACGAAACTTTTTATCCATAAAATTGTTCAAAGAGGTGTGCTTTCAGTCTTTTTCTGAATGCAATTTCCGATGCAATGCACTTTAATTCTTTTGGTAGGGCGTTCCACCATTTAGGTCCCATAACAGAAATAGATCTGTCAGCAAGTCTGGTCCTGCGTCTTGGCACAACAAACTGTGTACAAGTGTCATCAGCAGCTGATCTTAGACTGTATTTTCTTCTCACACAATTAAACAAAGTTATGAGATACGTTGGAGCTGTTCCATGTACAGCCTTTATTAAGTGACAGATATATTTTATATTTGGTAGGAAGATAACTTGCATGGTATTCATCCTTTTGATTGGGGTAGGGATCAGTGGGTCAAGGTCACTTGTGCTAAAAATAAATTTTTACACTTTTGCCCATACAGCTTTTATTTATTGACTGATGTATTTCATATTTGGTAGGAAGATAACTTGCATGGTATTCTTCCTTTGGATGGAGCAAGGGTCAGTTGGGTCAAGGTCATCAGTGCTTAAAAAATAGATTTTTACACTTTTGCCCATACAGCCTTTATTTATTGACAGATGTATTTCATATTTGGTAGGAAGATATCTTACATGGTATTCTTCCTTTGGATAGAGTTAGGGGTCAGTTTGGTCAAGGTCACCAGTGCTCAAAATAGATTTTTACACTTTTGCCCATACAGCCTTTTTTTATTGACAGATGTATTTCATATTTGGTAGGAAGATAACTTACATGGTATTCTTCCTTTTGATACAGTTAGGGGTCAGTTTGGTCAAGGTCACAAGTGCTCAAAATAGATTTTTACACTTTTGCCCGTACAGCCTTTATTTAATGACAGATGTTTTTCATATTTGGTAGGAAGATAGCTTGCATGAAGTTGAATATTTTTCAACTTCACAAGTCAGAGCAATGACTTGGCAACTTATATTTTTCACAATTACAAAATGCCATGACTGTCAAGTTATATATCTTGTGTTTACATTTTTTTGCAATTTTTCTGTCCATAAATTAGTGAATGGGTAAACATTTTTAGAAATATTGCTCCTGACAAGAATCTGAGCTGGGGGCATTTGTGTTTAACAAATACGTTCTTGTTTTTTTTGTGATTTAAATCAGTATGTAAAGTATTGTAATTATGATTACAGTTTGTCAGAAAGTCAGTTAAAGATTGCTATGATAGCCGAGATGATACACACTGCTAGTCTGATGCATGATGATGTCATAGACGCTGCTGATACAAGACGTAATAAACCAAGCATAAACCAGGTCTGGGGTCAGAGAAAGGTATGACATGATTAAAAATTTTATTTTGCTCAATTTTGTTGTGGTTTTTCGAAAAATTTCGTGAGAATTAATATATACAGAATTTATTCGAATGCAGTTTTGTAGGAAGCTATAAGATTATAGACATTCTAAATCCTGGAACAATTCAGTAATGTTCAATGTGTAAAGTTTCTTGCTTAAGGACACAAATGCTTTGCCCTTGTAGGGTTTGAACCCACGCTGCCAGTAATCCTTAGATTACTACATGATTATCGCTGGTCATGCTGCAACTTGAGTTTTTAATGATATATCATATTCACATATTTTGAGTCATAAAACCCATGTTTTTTGGTGTCTAAGCAGGGCAAAAGTTGTCAGATAATGTTGGATTCTCAATCTTGTAAAACTGATTTCAATATCCCTAATTGACAGTTTAAAATAGCATATTTAAAGCTCATTTAGGTGAAGCATCTGAAAATATTTTATATCTCTTAGACTGCTGTTAAGGTCACATATTGCATATAAAGTTAAAAAAAAAATTTATTCCTGGTATAGGTTACCAATTTTTGAGGATAGAAACATTTTCCTGTATCTGGCTTGTGTTAAAATTCTGCACAGAAATTCAACATCACATGAACTAAGAATGGCTCACTGCACACAATTTTTGTATGTACAAGCATAGTGATAATTCAGTGAAAAATCAGAAATTTGTAAAGTAATTAATTACTAAGGTGGCTTATTACTTTATTTCAGTCTATAATAGCAGGAGATTATGTAATGGCAAAGGCATCAATAGCACTAGCTAAAATTAGAGATGAGCAGGTGGTGTCTGTTGTATCACAAATAACAGAGGATTTGGTGAGAGGTAAATGATTTTCCTTGTGTGATAGTATTGACTATTTTATTTGTGCAATCAATGTATTTTGTCATAGAGTTCAGTGTTTTTGTTTTGTAAATGTGTCAATGGCTGATCACACTGGTCTAATCTATCTATGCTGCAGAAGTTTAATTCTCTAGTATAAGTAATACACATAATCTTCCATCAGATTGAGAATCAACGATTCTACATTGGTGCCAAGTTAGCGTATTTAGCACTGGCCAGGAGGCCAATGGCCAGTGAAAATTAGTTCGGGCCAGTGACATGTTTTAATTTTATGAAAATTTAGTTAAATATATAGTAGAATAAATTAAAAACTGGAATTATGGCCAGTAAATTCAAAGTCTTAAATTCAATGACTGGGTGCCTACCATTGCTTTAATTTATGTTATTGGTAAATCTCCTCAGACATATGACCATAGATTGGTAATAGTTTGACAGTGCTTGCATTTAAGATCTGTAATTGCCATATATTGGGGCTAAAGGTTTGTACTGCTGTAAGTACTGCAGAAAGCTTGGACCAAGATATACCTGTCATACTGCACATCTCTACATAAAACCATCACATACAAACTGATATACATTAAAAAAAACTAACCTTGTTATATATTCTGTTGATTTTAGGGGAGTTTATGCAGTTAGGTTCTAAAGAGAATGATGAGGAGAGATTCAACCATTATATCAACAAGTCTTTCAAGAAAACTGCCAGTTTACTGGCCAACAGCTGCAAGGCAGTAAGTTTTATCTCAATCTTAATTTCATCATTACAATAAAAAACGTAGTTTCTTACCATCTAAGCTCTAATATTTACAGAGATGAGTAACCATTAATAAACATGTCTGGCTTTTTCACCCACATGATTTATGAAGTGGGGATGAGAGACAAGTGGCCATTCAGCTTCATGTCTGAGAATATGTGTCAAAAAGACATTTCACCTTGCCCATGGATCGAACCAGCCATCCTTGTATTATAAAAAATCCAATGCCCTTCCTATTGGGAAGACGTGTCACAATTGAGAATGAATATAAATGATTTAACAAAAATTTCAGGTGGCTGTTCTAGGAAATTGTGATGAAGAATTGGCAGAAGCTGCATACAATTATGGCAAAAATATAGGCATTAGTTTTCAAGTAAGAATTTTCTTTAACACTTAACTTTCTTTATGTGATCAGATGCACTTGGTTTTCTTTGAATTTTGAGTTTTAGAGGGATTTAAACATTTAAAAACACAAACAGTGTATATTCTTCATGTTTCATGAAAAATGTAGTTGAGGGTTGTAGTAGCTGGGTTGTACAATGTACTTACATCCTTTGTATTGTCCTTTTGTCAATTTAAAGGGACTAGTTCACTTTAAAGGGACTCCAGTCACTCCACTAAAGTATTTGACATAACAGGATAGGAAATAATTTTTCAAATTAATGTCCCATTGATGTGGTTGTAGATATATAACTTGTGTGCAAAATTTAAGATCATTCATTCACTCTGTGGTCCAAAATAATCATTCCTATTGTGAAAAACGATTTTTTATCAAATCAGACTAAGACTACCACGTTTTTCAATCTATTTCTTAGTGTATTTATTATCTTTTGATATTTTTAGCTCATCTGTCACAAAGTGACAGGGTGAGCTTTTGTGATCGCTTTTCGTCCGCCGTCCGTCCGTCCGTAAACTTTTGCTTTAATTGACATCTCCTCATAAACCACTGAGCCAATTTCATCCAAACTTCAGAGGAATGTTCCTTTGGTGGTCACCTTTAAAAATTGTTCAAAGAATTTAATTCCATGCAGAACTCTGGTTGCCATGGCAACCAAAAGAAAAAACTTTAAATATCTTCTTTTAAAAAACCATAAGAGCTAGAGCTTAGATATTTGGCATGAAACATCTTCTAGTGAGTGTCTACCAAGTTTGTTCAAATAAAAGGCCTGGGGTCAAAATTGGCCCCGCCCCTGGGGGTCATTGATTTTCCCTATATGCATATAGTAAAAATTTAAAAAATTTTCTTTTAAAGAACCGTAAGAGCTAGAGCTTAGATATTTGGCATGAAACATCTTCTAGTGAGTGTCTACCAAGTTTGTTTCAAATAAAAGCCCTGGGGTCAAAATTGGCCCCGACCCAGGGGTCATTGATTTTCCCAATATGCATATAGTAAAAACTTAAAAAATCTTCCTTTAAAGAACCCAAAGAGCTAGAGCTAAGATATTAAGCATGAAACATCTTCTAGTGAGTGTCTACCAAGTTTGTTCAAATTAAAGCCCTGGGGTCAAATTGGCCCCGCCCCGGGGGTCATTGATTTTCCTATATGCATATAGTAAAAACTTAAAAAATCTTCTTTTAAGAACCATAAGAGCTAGAGCTTAGATATTTGGCATGAAACATCTTCTAGTGAATGTCTACCAAGTTTGTTCAAATAAAAAGCCCTGGGGTCAAAATTGACCCCGCCCCAGGGGGTCATAGATTTTCCCTATATGCATGTAGTAAAAACTTAAAAAAATTTCTTTTAAAGAACCCAAAGAGCTAGAGCTAAGATATTAAGCATGAAACATCTTCTAGTGAGTGTCTACCAAGTTTGTTCAAATTAAAGCCCTGGGGTCAAAATTGGCCCCGCCCCGGGGATCATTGATTTTCCCTATATGCATATGGTAAAAACTTAAAAAATCTTCTTTTAAAGAACCATAAGAGCTAGAGCTTAGATATTTGGCATGAAACATCTTCTAGTGAATGTCTACCAAGTTTGTTCAAATAAAAGCCCTGGGGTCAAAATTGACCCTGCCCCAGGGGGTCATAGATTTTCCCTATATGCATATAGTAAAAACTTAAAAAATCTTCTTTTAAAGAACCCAAAGAGCTAGAGCTAAGATATTAAGCATGAAACATCTTCTAATGGGTGTCTACCAAGTATGTTCAAAAAAAAGCCCTGGGGTCAAAAGTGGCCCCGCCCGGGGGGGGGGGGTGTCATTGATTTTCCTTATATGTGTATAGCAAAAACTTAAAAATCTTCTTTGGAAAAACCCAAATAGCTAGAGTTTAGATATTAAGCATGAAACATCTTTAAGTAAATATCTACAAAGTTTGATAAAATAAACGCCCGGGGGTCAAAACTGGCCCTGCCCCAGGGGTGACATTGTTTTAAACTATATGTGTATAGTAAAAACTATAGTAAATCTTCTTTTAAAAAAGCCAATGAGCTAGAACTTAGATGTTTAGCATGAAACATCTTCTTATGGGTGTGTACCAAGTCTGTTCAAATAAACAAATAAAAGCCCTTGGGTAAAAATTGGCCCGGGGGTGGGGGGCCTATATACAGGTGAGCGACCTCAGGGCCATCATGGCCCTCTTGTTCTGTTAAAGTGCCGCTGCTGATTTATGTAGAAAAATAAAATTTTATGTTTTTGAACCTCAGTGGAGTTCGTTTGACTTAACATTTCATGTAGCCTTGTCATTTAATGCCAAATACCTTAAATGATATGTTGAAATCTTGTTAGACACCTTAAATGATATGTTGAAATCTTGTTAGACACCTTAAATGATATGTTTGAAATCTTGTTAGACACCTTAAATGATATGTTGAAATCTTGTTAGACACCTTAAATGATATGTTGAAATCTTGTTAGAACACCTTAAATGATATGTTGAAATCTTGTTAGACACCTTAAATGATATGTTGAAATCTTGTTAGACACCTTAAATGATATGTTGAAATCTTGTTAGACACCTTAAATGATATGTTGAAATCTTGTTAGACACCTTAATGATATGTTGAAATCTTGTTAGACACCTTAAATGATATGTTGAAATCTTGTTAGACACCTTAAATGATATGTTGAAATCTTGTTAGACACCTTAAATGATATGTTGAAATCTTGTTAGAAACCTTAAATGATATGTTGAAATCTTGTTAGACACCTTAAATGATATGTTGAAATCTTGTTAGACACCTTAAATGATATGTTGAAATCTTGTTAGACACCTTAAATGATATGTTGAAATCTTGTTAGACGTCTACCCTTATAAGGTCAAGATCACAAAGGATAAAAGTGAATTTCTGTTCTTTCCCTTATTGTTTGGTTCTGTTTTTAGCTCGACTATTCGATAAGAATAAGTAGAGCTATTGCAGTCACCCGAGCGTCGGCGTCGGCGTAACCACTTATGTTAAAGTTTTTGTAATAGTTCAAATATTTTCAAAGTCCATTGACATATGGCTTTGAAACTTTGCACACTTGTTCACCATCATGACCCCAACCTGTAGACAGGAGGAGGTAACTCTATCAAGCATTTTGACAGAATAATGCCCCTTTTTCGACTTAGAATTTACGTTAAAGTTTTTGTAATAGTTCAAATATTTTCAAAGTCCATAGACATATGGCTTTGAAATTTTGCACACTTGTTCACCATCATGACCACAACCTGTAGACAGGAGGAGGTAACTCTATTAAGCATTTTGACAGAATTATGCCCCTTTTTCGACTTAGAATTTACGTTAAAGTTTTTGTAATAGTTCAAATATTTTCAAAGTCCATTGACATATGGCTTTGAAACTTTGCACACTTGTTCAACATCATGACCCCAACCTGTAAACAGGAGGAGGTAACTCTATCAAGCATTTTGACAGAATTATGCCCCTTTTTAGACTTAGAATTTATGTTAAAGTTTTTGTAATAGTATAAATATTTTCAAAGTCCATTGACATATGGCTTTGAAACTTTGCACACTTGTTCACCATCATGACCCCAACCTGTGAACAGGAGGAGGTAACTGTATCAGGCATTTTTTTTACTATCAAGCACTAAGAATAGTCGAGCGTTGCTGTCCTACCTACAGCTCTTGTTACATGTGTCAAATGATATTTGGGATCATTCATTAATACCACCAATTTCCATTCCTAGATTGTCATTTTAAGGATGTGTTATTGTTCATCTATGTAGATTGGAGTTGAGAGAGAATTAAAGAGAACAAAAATCGAAAAACTTTAAGCTGGTTCCTGCTTCCTTAAAAATGTATATGACTGAAATACTTCTACAAAATCCCTTACAATTTAATAATAATATACTTGCTGTAATGTCCAGGGTTACAGTTATAAGATTTTCTATTCATTTAAATAAGCAAAAGTGCAGAATATCCTAAAGTAGCAGAATATCATAAACTACCTATACTGATAACCTAAAAGTAAAGCATCTGCGATGAATATGGCAGGTTACATGTCAATCTATGTGGCATTGTTGACATGGTCAACATGGGCATTTCCTAGCTTGTCACATGTTAAGGTGACATAATGCTCATTTTATCGTTGTCAAGTTGTGTTGAATTTGTAATATATTTCTAAAGATTTGCTTCTATTAGGGTGATTGACCAAAGACTGCCCCTCTCTTTTACAGAATTGAGCGTTACCGATACATTTAGAACAATACTAATACTTTTACCTGTCCACTGACCATTTACACTTAGATGTACATAATATCACTTTAATAAAATTAACATACTTGCTTTTCATATCAAAATTTGATGCCAAAACAGATTCTATAAGATGTAGGTGTTGAGTGGGATAAATACATGTTGATCTTTTTTCTGATCTTTCAGTAATTTCTGTACAAACTGTAGTAACTTGAATTTCACCTTGAGTAAATTATTTTTACAGTTAATAGATGACCTTCTAGATTTTACCTCATGTGATCATGTGATGGGAAAACCAACTGCTGCAGACCTCAAACTGGGCCTCGCTACTGCACCAGTACTTTATGCTGCGAGGAAATACCCGCAGCTCAATGCCCTCATCATGAGGAGATTTACTCATAAAGGAGATATTGAACTTGCTAGGGAACTTGTTGAGAAGGTAAATTTTAACTTAAATCCTACCTTAGTTTGTGTAATGGACTTTTCCTGCTTTTAAATATGGAGTAGTCTATTAGTAGTTTAATGAATTATGTAATCAGACATATGAAACAGAGCTGCTGATATTATTGGCCTGGCTATATTACATTGATGTTCATGCTGGCCTGGATCGACACTGGTGGCATAGTCTGAAGTTGTTATTGTGGCACCTAGCCTTATAAAGGGCTGATAAGAAAATCTTGTAGTTTGAATTTGATATAAATGACAAAGTTCTGTAAAATTTAGAAAGTAAATTTTCTAGTTAGTCTTTCCATAAATAATTTTTAAAAACATATGCAGATAATTGATATTTATATATTTGTTATTTTACACAAATTAAAAAAGCATACTACAGGGTATTTGAATACCATAACAATATGTCTGCTAGTTTTGGTTACATAAAGTGCCAGCTTGTAGCAGTATTTGCCTCATATTTATCCCTCAAGCTTACAATATATTAGCAGTTCTACTCAGGTGCCCGTTTAAGCAACTGTATTCCTTCACCAGTAACATTTGACGTTGTTTGCCCAATCCAATTTTTTTTTAATTCCTTTTTTTGAGGAATATTTCAGGAATAATTGCCTCTTGATCTAAGGCCAAACCACAGATCCTTGTAAGGTTTTTCTTGCATAACTGAAAAATGCTTGTAGACCCAACTCTTATGGCCAATTTTAATCTAAAAGTGGCGTACTTTCATTTGTTTGTAAGTTGATAAAGGGGGGATGTAAGAAGAATGATATTAAGTTAAAAGTGATTACAGCGGGGTGAATAAAGGCGAGTAAATTAGCAAAATTAAAATCATTTAAAGTACCTTTGTCCCGGCGGTTTATTAAGCCGGGAATACGGTTTTTAGTGTGGTGCTCTCACACTTTTTTGTCCCACTCATAAATATGTATTACATAATATATACTTTCTATACATTATGCATTGATTTGTTTTTTATTTTCTCTCCATAGAGTAAATGGTGTAGCGGAGTACGGCATGGGCAAGGGGAAAACCTGGCTGAGGACGCACAGTGCCGAGGCAGTGAAATGCAAAATCAAAAACATTACAAAAATCAGACAAGTCTAAAAAGCACTTGAAGTTTTAGCGAAATTAGTTCTCTCGAGAAATAAATAATATTAGTGTTTATTAGGAACATTATTAGGAACAAATTTGTTTGGATATTTATAGGACTTGTACACAAGAAAAGGCACTGGACTGTCTTTCATTGTTGGTAGTGATAGGACTTGCAAATAAGTTGGATTTATACTCTGAGATTATAAGTTCAGTCAGACAACATATCATTGACTTCAGATGATGCAGAATGGAAAATAATCTGATTTTACAGCTTTATAAATGAAAAAAACATTAATTGTTTCCCCCTTAGTAATGTACACACTATCAACACAACATTGTGTATTGTTTGACCTCACTTCACTGTGATAAAAAGAAAATGTCATTTACTGAGACTTAGATATTATGACTATTATATAGAGGATATTTGTTTAGTTCAGTGTAAGATCAGAATATATTTCACCGAGTGAGCACCAAAAGGTATATTTCACGAGTGGCGCAGCCACGAGTGAAATATGAACTTTTGGTGTTCACAAGGTGAAATATATTTCAATCTTACACTAAACTAAACAAATTTTCTTTTTATTATATGCAAAGAAACGTTTTAAAAAAAGACATTTAAAACCTAATACTTGAATGAAAAAGCGCGCCAAATAATAATATAACGTGACGTCAATTTACGATTGTACTCATTTAGGTTGGTTCCCCAGTACCTGTGACAGCCTGGTATTTCACTGAAAACAATGTAAAGGGGCTTAAATTCAAAACAGTGAAATTAAATCAAGTGGTAATTTTTCACGTTTTTCCGAAACAGTGAAATAACCAAATTTTAAATATCAACTGAAATATTTCTATAAACCACCGAAAAGCATGTAATAAATTGTTTTTAAACACAGTTTGTCAGCTTAATTCTATAGCCAGATCATCAGATTGGTAATCTATAGGTCAGTAGTATGAGTCTCTGGTGCGGGGAAATTTCTCTGACAATTGAGACGAGACATAATTATGAGTTTAATTATGAGTTAATACTGCTGATTCAGAAATCATTTGGGATTTTTGAAGTTGGTCATTTGTGAAAAAGTTCAGGAAAGCGGGTCAGGTGGACCAGCCACCAAGTTGTGACCATAAATGTTTTTAGATTCTTGTAAAAACCTGGCAAAACACTTCATATTTTGAATGACGTCTTGTAAAGGTAAATAACTGATTCAGTCTTACAGGCAAAATCACCCACTGTTTACCTCCCTTGTTTACATTGCAGGTACACTAGGATCTTTGTTGTTTTTTGTAATAATTGTTGATGTAATGAAGTTTACAGTTTCCTGTAAATCTTGAAAAATTTTTAAAAATTCTTATGTGGATTTTTTGTTTTTTAGTGTAAAGTTAAAACAAAAGGATTTTTTGAAAACCCTGAAACTGTTAAATATGATACATGAAACCAAATTTAAAAATTTCTAAAAAAATTTTTTTTGATTTTAAAAAAAAAGAATTTTAAACATGGAAGAAAAGTGTTTTTCGGGGCTCAACCCAAAAAACCCAATTTCTAACAAGACAATGTCAGAAACATGTTTTATTAAAAAAGGTTACTTAAACTTTTTTACAATAAAAATATTTAAATTTTAAAAAAGGGCCAAATTTTTTTAAGAGCCCCCAATTTTAATTTATAATAAAAAGTGTCAGAAAAATTTTTGAAATGCATGTTGAAGATATTTAACTAATTATTATAAGTTGTTGATTCTGAAATATCAACTAAATTATACTTTAGAAATTGATATACAGATGTTGTTCTCATATGATATTTTTTCACGTTATCACAGTAATGGGTCAACTTCTATTGTTTCAAAATATGAGGAAACCCTACACTGCATTAAGGTTTTAATTTGTTGTAAAATAAGATTTAATAGTATTTTATTTTGTAAAGTTAATGAAAAATTATTGTTATTACCTTCATATGAACATACACGTATGTTTATTTTGAAGGTAAAGGTTATTTTTATTCAGCAGTTTAATTTCATATGACTGATCCGAGTATACATGTATAATACTGTGATTCATACAGAAAACAAAACCTATACTGTATTTTGTAAGTTGATGTTAAAGGGACTAAACTGGGTTTTTTGTGTGTCAGGACTAGTAATATTTTTTTCTGATATTTGGGGACAGATTGGTGAAGGTCTTGACCAATCACTTTTGTACAAATTTTTAGGTCATTTCCTCACCCCTTTTTCCAGAATAATTATTTTTTTATCGTGCAAAATGACCTAAAAATGGAATTCTGAGTTCATTTCTTTGTTATCCTTTGTAGAATTTTTCTTTTAAAATGCTTCACTTGAGATTTTTAAGATATTAAAATTTTATGTTTTCAGGCCTTTGGACCTCAGTTGAGTTCCTTTAAGCTATTCAATCTTTTAATTATAAACATAACATATCAAAATCTGTTCACTTTCCAATGAATTTCATCTAAAAATTATTGAATATTCACATTGTCCACAATACATGTAGTATGCGAATGTTAACACTGTTTATGCCTCTGTGATTGTTGTTAAGCAGCATCATCAAAGAAATTTTTCACCTTTGAAGATAATGGTCAGATTTACTTTAATTTAATATACCATCTTTTGTGGGCAGCTGTCTATGATTTGCTTAGTTTACAAATGAGTCACTAAAGATAGATATACAGAAACCTTCAGATATCTTCAAAACCAAAAGATGGATTATCTTCATATTTTGTCTGTTCTTTTCTTAGATTATTTCTTTTTCTATCAGTTTGGTTGAAGAATTTTATAGAAAAGAGGCCACTAGAATTTTAAAAAAATACTGGATCATCACCAGATTTTGGTTTGAAGCATCCTTTAGATGGTTCCTTAGATCTTTCAGGCTTATGCAGTTAATTATGCCAGCCTTGTTGACTATCAGGGTCTCTCTATACAGCAGTGCTTGTATTTGAAAATTAATAATCATAATAAGAGTTAAGGTAGACAAATAATTGTGTTTATTCTGAGGTTATGTAATATGGCTATTTATAGAAAACCTGTTGAATGTGTGAACAATTGTTATGGAAAATGTACTCAACATTTTCACTGCCAGAACTTTGTTATTACTCAAAGGGATTGATAATAATAAAATATTTTTATATGATAAACATTGTTTTTCTTATTAGCTCATCATTCAGTGTCGAAGAAAAAGTCGAGCTATTATGATCGATTTGTCAATGCTGTCTTACAAAAAAATTAAATTAAAGTGTGCTGTTATTCAAACTGTTATCAAAAAGTTATCAATACTTATCCAAACATTTTTAAAGTTATCAACATAAAACTTGGAATACTTGCTTATTATTACAAGGGGCTTAATTTAGAAAGCAATATTATATTTGTAGTTATTCCCCTTTTCAACAGTTTTTATCAGACGCAGTGCATTAACACAGCATGTAGTGCTCTTGTATTGTAAAATGTTATCTATACCTCCCTGTACCTATGATGAGTTTCCACCTACCCAAGCATACTTGCAGAAACTTTGCAGGTACTAGTGAGACTTAAATTCAGTCCGACAGGAAATAGCACCGAAGTCTATCATATTCTTAAATGAATTGGCACTTTTCTGTCGTCTTTTTACAATGTTTAAGAAAAACAAAACTTGTACAAAAGTCACTAGCTTGAATGAATGATTAAATGAGAAGACTCTTGGTGCTTTTTCGGACGGAGATCACTTGATCATGTTGAAATGGGTGTTTAGCCCAAACCCGACCCCGCCCCCCAAAATTTTAAACTTACGTTGACAAGAAATAATTCACCCCACTGTTCGTTTTTTGCCCCTTGTCTTCCCGGATTAGTATAAATATAGGGCCTTCTTTTCCTTTAACACGTACTGTTTGGTGACTTGTATTCAGAAGAAGGAAACACTGATCGGTTTGGTTTATTTAAGGTTAAGGTCACCAAAATCAATTTCTAGTAATTATTGTTTTCGTTTGACCAAACTGCCCTACATATATATATATACTTACATTGAGTCCCTCTTATTAGGAGAGAACTTTGTTTGGAATCCTAGTTGTTGGAATATATTTTAACTTCACTTGCCGCAAAGATTTTTTTTAAATGCTTCCATTAAAAGTCCAGTCCAATTTGGCATATGCTCTTATGCTTTCAGCTGGGCTTTTATTAATTTAAGGTCAATGTTATTATATGATCTTACATATTGATAACGATTTCGGCTGAATAATTGGCATATTTTTTAGATAAACCAAGAATAATTTACTTCACATGCACACAGTGTATAAATATAACATTTCCTGGTTACGCTGATTTGCTGCTGTTCCTGCTATACGTTGAAACACCTGTGCTTGCAGAACGAGCTCTTAACTGTACTCCATAGTATTTATGCCACTGAATATAATATATTATGAATGTTTAGTACAAATAAATGACAATTTTTTTGTTCCAAATGAGACCAAGTCCCCAGAATATGAAAGACACCTGTATTTTAATGGATAAATCACCTCGGCCTTAAACGGTACAGAGCCACCAGTGGTCAAACTGACTACAAATTCATGGATCGCAAACAAGAGTTCGAACCCCCGATCCAATTGAATTACAAGTTTTTTGTTTTTGTTTTTTCCACAGCGATGTCCTTTGTAATAATTCTTTAAACCCTGCAGGCATTGAAGCAGTTGTTACGTGGGATAGGTTATTTAATATATCATTTGCTATGTCGTTCAAAGAATAAAATTACGAGTTAAGTCATTTGTATTGGGTTTCCGGTGGCGACTGTACAAGTCAACGTAGATACAGAGGCCAAACTCGTAACCTTACGTGTGTTTCAATTTTTTCCAATAGAATTCCCTTGACGCTTATAAATATCAATTGAAATAACGGAGAAAACGAACGATTTTATGTATTTTGTTCTCAATGAACCACGAAGAACACATTCCACTACTAGTATCCCAGGTCTATAAAATAATTATTACACCTAAAATTTTGATATCTCATTTATACAATGGCTTTCATATATATATTTTTCAGGAAACCTCTACTGTATGGTTTGATACGAATAATTTTCCCAGATACTCACAATAATAACGACGAAATAGAAATTTTATTTCGACGATTAGACAGAAAATGATTAGGAATACGCAACTTCGATAATCATAAAGCGATCTTGTATTCCCAAACTTTTCAAGAAGGATATTTAAACTGAGTTATTAACTGTTCATGTATAAATGGAATTTTGACGTTTTATGTAAAATTATGCAAAGTTGTATCGATCAGCAAAGATGAAAGGGATAACAAAATGTCTTAGACTGTAACAGATATTTAATGCATCTCCCTGTATGACTGTAAAATTTTCTTGAATACATGAAAACCATTCCTAATGGAAGTTCGGTAATCGGTATGTGCATAAATGACTAATCAAGTATCAGTCATGGCGTCGTTTCAGTTACGTATCAATATCTGATAGCGTGCCGGAGCAGAAATTCAAGGACTTAAAAACTAACTTAAGCTTATCGTTTTGTTGTTTTATTTATTTATTTTTGTCTTTACTGTTTTGTTTCTTCTTATATTTTATTTATTTGGTCCTGCGCGAGAATGTGTCAGAATTGCAATTCACCTTATCACATAGACAAAACATGTGACAGTGTGCGTTAGTAATTCCGGAAAATTTCATTTCTCGAAGCAGGCGTGCATACGATTAAAACATTAAAATGAAAGACTACTATTCAAGGCACCATGAGTACGATCTTCCTGTCCTCCAAATACATACAAACTTGTCTTTAACGGCCACTTTATTTATACGGAAAAAGTGGTCTGTCATCACAAGTTGCCTCTCGAAAAAAAAATTTATACTATAATTGTTCAAGAGGGAAAATGCAATTTTGACCTTAAGTGAAAGGTTTGTAATTATTGGCTGAAAAAAAAGATGGTAGACTTAATCAGAGGGTGCGATCAATAGTAAGCTTTCACTTTAAAGGAAGGACCTGTTAATACTTCTGGAATGCACAGTCACTATATGTTACATTACCGAAACAACAACTTACGGCTCTTCTTCAGGATCGAGCCGCCAATATATGAAACATGTGGAGAATATAAATTAACAACTGTTATATATATATGACTAAGCACCATTCGATAGTTCACAGCTTTATCATTTATTGACTGAAAGGATATAAAACCTGTTTGTTCATCCTCAAATAAATTTGTACATGTACATTCATTGATTAACTTGTGGAACTACAAAAAAGTGCAAATTGTCCGTTTCTATCAATATTTTATTCAAGTTTTTTCTTTATTACTTCAATCAATTTCGGGAAAGAAGTGTTCATAAAATGGCCTTTATCGTCGAACTTGTATAGTTCTGACGTCATACCGTCTGCAACTTGTTGCTGCTCCGTCCATGGTATAAACTGGTCGTCTGTTGATCCAAACTGAACGCGCCATTCGGTATTGCTCTTGATTGTGTCCCAGTCCCAGGGTCGGCTGTAATACCTACTGGCCCGCTCGTTCTCGTCGCCAAGGTCCGTTACGCATGCCGAGACCACAACGATACCTTTTACTTTATACCGTTCCGCGAACCTCATAGCGGCTTCAGCACCGGAACTGTGGCCAACTATTATGGTATTGTCGCCACAATTCATCTCATCTCTCATAAAAGGAATCCAGACTGATTCCCTGGCAGTGATAGGGTCGGGCATGTTTCGGAGGTCGCATTTCACGTCTTCCATAGCATTTAACTTTCTTTTCGCCCAGCCATACCAATTGGCCGCCGTAACGTCACCAGCGCCATTCCCCGGAATTATTACTATGTGTTTCATCGTCCTGAAAATAGACAAGACTGAACTTTAGAAAAAAACATAGGCATCGATGCATAACATGCTGTTTTATTCAGTTAAATTGTACTAATGCGTGTTTCTGCCGTTTTTCTTTTTATATAAAAAATGATAAGGATCACAGTTAAGGCTCGAATCATGACTATCTGAAACAAATAGGTTTACTAAGAACAGATAACGTTTAACCACTAAGGCAGCGTTCCCCTTTAAAGTAATTCATTAAAGAAAATTTATATATTTATTGTCTTACTTTTTTTCAAATATCAAAATCAGGACTAACTTCATATTATCATTGATGCAACATTTTAGAAGCAAAGAAAAAAGTGAACAAAGTTCTTTTGCTGTTTATTTTATTTCATTGTTGTTGGGGTTCTTTTCGTTTTTTTTCTTTTTTATCTATTTGTTCATTTATCTATCTATTTATTTTTTATGTATTCTTTTTTTAGAAATTACAATACAGACAGAGTAATAAACATGTTTTTTATGACAATATCATAATTATGACAAAAATACTTTTATTTATTTATTTATTTATTTATTATTTCTATTCATTTATATAATTATTTATTTATTTTATTATTATTATTATTATTATTATTATTATTATTATTATATTATTATCAGAGACATAGATAATTAGTTATCTATGTCTCTGTTGTTATTATTATTATTATTATCATTTTAGAAGAAACAAAACAGAGTGAAAAAACATGTTTTCTTTTTAAAACAATATCACAATAATGAGAAATGTACAAATGTACTTATAAATGGTTTAAAAGATAAGTCAGAGGACACGTCGATCCGCATTCGACACACTTCGCCGATACCCGTAAATATACACTTAATCGTTGTTGACTTATATCTTACCGGAGTATAGCGGAAATGGCCGAAAATTTACGGTAGATTACCATGTAGATCTTATGAAATGGTTAATCTTAAATTGAATCTGGTTGTCTTATTCAATGCCTTTATACATATAATAATAAACAAAACCCAAGTACGTGTGCGTAGCTAAGCTTATATGCGAATAAAACTTCGCACAATGATTTTATAATTATAATTCTTTACGTGTTTCAACACATAACATGTAATTTATTATGCATTAAATGTTACAAAATTTATACCCATTTTAAATGACACAATGCTTTCATACAATATTATATGCTACAAGTAGGCCTATATAACATGGCTAGGGAACAATAGCAGCTGGCTTTCCTAATTTGTTTCCGGTATCCTATTTCTTTCAATATTATGTTGCTTTCATTCAAACACACCCATTTTTAAATAAAATGCACTGTAACAAAATATCTCTATTTCAAATCGAAACGAATTTGATATTTTTAACAGGTGATGTTCGATGAAATTACCCGTTTGAGTCGTGAAATTACTTATTTATAAATACATCACCATGTTGTACTTGTAGTAGCTACGTGTATACGTGTATATACAGTAGGTAGATGCATACTGGTAGATGCACTAATATTAAATCATTTATGAACTATAATATATTAGCATAATATGTTTTGATTTTATATATATCTACACGTAGAGCTATCTATTATTTCAAATAAACATATTATCATGAAAATGCGTTTAATCTGAATTATTTGTAAATGTTATAAAAATATTGCACTATGTAGGCCTATCTATAATCTTATACGTATGGCCTAAAAGCTATAGGATAAGCTGCAATGTCTAAGTTACATAAATAAATCTATATCCTGTATTAGTCATATCGCCTTATCAAAACTTCTTTTTTATATTTATAACTGTAAATGTCGACATTTTTTTTCAAATACTAAACCGATTAATCTACATTTAGATTATTTAGAAATGTCTTACTAAAAGATAAAATTGTCATGATACGTCGAATGGATTTCTTTTTCTGCCTGGAACATATGTCTGTCTGTATATCATTTAATTGAGGGGGTAAAGAACTTGGAGTTTATATGATGTAGGTTAGAATCAAATTTATACAAGCTAAAATATAATGTGCTTTGCATTGGACTCACATTTCTAACACGCTGCCTTAGTGTATATCATATAATATAGGCTTACTATGTTTTTAATCACTATCTCATGCAATAAAATTCTAGACATTTTATCAAAAATATATAAAACTCGTGCAGTAGGCCTATACTGTATGCATGCATGCTCGTTATCGATGAACTCAAGTGCACTCAATAATATCGAGATCTAATGTCTTAAATAGCACACTCATTATCATACTGCTTGAATGGATTACTTTTCAGATAGTATAATATTTTAATTAAAGTTAATGAAAAAGAATTTTTCACTTTTATTTGTAAATCGTTCAATTAAATCGTCGCTTCATAAATGTTTTCCTAGAATGATTGGAGAAAATACGCAAAATGACCACGTGCTTTTCGCTTCTCCAGTTTTCGAGCATGCGCAGAAAAGCTAACGCGGGATTGTGGGAGTTGTTCAGTGGCAAATTGTCCGCCATGATGAAAAAATCGAAAAATTCAGAAATATTACAAAATTTGAACGCTAACTGTGTATTCATTACTGGATAAGTATATGTTTAATGAATCAAATACAAATGTGGTCCCATTAAGGTATTATTTAAGACTATTTAGGTTCGTACGGAACCTCGTGTTTTTCATATTTTTGAAAAATACTAGCGGGTGACCGTCTCATTAGCATAAATTCAGGTCAGCCAAGATGAGCAAAGTAACTTTTCGGGCTAGGGCGCTGGATGCTGCCCGCCCTATGCCCGTATATAAAGCAGAGGACATACCGGACCTTCCAGACTTTGCAACCATCAACAGATCTGTTCCACAAATGCCGACGGGGATGGAAAAGGAAGAAGAAACGGTATAGTCTTTCACTTGCGAGTCCGGGCAGGATTGGCCGCCATCTTGGATTTTGTCAATTTCAAAACGCACTTGTTATTTTTGACCAAGATAACGCTTTAATTGTAGAATGAGACATACACTATTCTTTTAAAGTTCTTTAAATCATGTTATTGTCCAGATAAAATGCGGAGAACCTTTAGTTTTAGGGTTTCGTTTTGTTCTATTTTTAGAAGTTTTACCCACGTGATAAGCCAAGGGAGATAACTACACAGCGCACGTGGGTTTTATACTTAATCTGTTAATCATAATAAAGTTGAACTTTTATTCTGATTCGTATCTGCTTAACAGACATGATAATTCATGAAGAACTATATGTGAGATCTACTACTGATTTAGGTCTGTGTACACATTTTGTTCCCTTTGAGTTTGAATTTTGTGAAGTTTTTAAAACTGCTAAAATTTTTAACTTCCTGGAATTGAATGAAAGGAATGATTGGCATTTAAATTGATACAATGAACACATTTTAAGTTTTGGTTTGATTTATAGGTACATAAAGCACTTTTCGTCACTTCTCTGATTCCTGCTCTTGAAAAATGCAAGATATTTGAAATAAGCAGTGACTTTTTTTTCAATTTTCAAAACAACTCGTTGAAAGGGAAAATATTGTACAAGAGGGAAAACCTGAAATTGAATTTAAACAACTGAGAATGAAATTTACACACTGTGGGACACATTTGATAAACTTGCAGTTCAATTTAAGAGGCATGGTACATAGATAAGACTATAGGGACATCTTTCAGTCCGTTATCTGATCTGCACAGGGTATTTAAGGAGAAAATAGACCTTTTTTGGGCTAGGGAAACAGCCTTTATTCGGCTATAAAATATAAGAGGGGAGGGGGAATCACTAAATAAAAGAATAAAAGATCCTTAACTGCATAGTCATAAGCATTTTACATTTTTGCCAAACTGTCTTGCAAAGGGCTGATAAAGATACTTCTCAAAAATAAAAATGTAGGATAATGAAAACGGACCCAGTCACAATCTTAGAAAAAACCATTGACAGGTCATGAATTCATAACAGTAGTCGTAGTAGTGTTGGGTATCGGACTCAAAAATTACTATCGATAATCGGACCACCACAATCGATTGTCTGCCGATAGTATAATCGAGGTTCACACTTATTATGGCCCTTTTTTCTTTTAAGGTACCAATCCTTGTATGTATTTTTTTATACAGTAGTGACCACATTTTGAGTGTCTCCAATATTAAAGTATGTTTTGCTTTTTGAATTCAAAACAAACGACACCAGGGGTTTTTTTTACTAACAAATTGACACCGATAGTCGGCGTCTTCCCCTCGGTAAATAGCCAAGTTTTTTCCCCCAAAAAATTCTATTTTCCTTTAAACTGGATCAGATTTAATAATTACATGGTTTAAAATATTATTTTTCTTCATTTTATGCAGGATAAACCACCAATTGTTGTCCAAAATAACCAAAAACATTGCAGGAAACTGCAAGTTCTGTCTCAACATGGAGGCAGCCATTTTTTTTTCTTGGCTATATCCCGTACTGAACGGTACTATTTCTGGAAATCAGTTGCTATCAAAATATTGTCATTTTCTTGGTTATTTTTAGTAAAGTAATATATTTTGTACTTCTTATTATGAAAATGACTTATATGGAGCTAAAGTGTGTCACAAATACACTATTATACCTATACTGTATTAACTTTCATATAAAAATAGAAGTATAAAAACCATTCACCACCATACATATTAAGAAAATATGTTATACTGCAAAGAATATTTTGCATGATGATAAAGTTTTTAAGGGGAAAAAGATATAGTTGTAACTCTCTACTATGTAGTTAAGTATATAGTATAAATAACGTCATAATAAAGTTTCCCCAAATTGACTTTTTTCGTATATTTTTTCCCCTCCCTACCAGCGTCCAGCGTCTTCCCCTTTTCCTAAAAAAAACCCCTGGACACAAATACCTAATACAACTTTATGGCAGTCAATATTAGTACTAGTCAACAGGTCAAAATATTAATAAGTAGTATTGTAGATCACTAATTTAACTACAGTAGAAACTACAGTAGATACTCATTTATAAGTTTATAATGTTATGTTATTACACACTATGATTTTCTAAAGTAGTATTAACCATGTTAAATAGGTTATGAATGCAAAAAAGACTTTAGGATCGTCTGGAATTAAAGAGATTCGGTATGGAAACTTTTATTTGACCGCGTGTAAAAAAAGTTACGCCCTAGGCAATTCAGCAGTGGTAGAACATTAAAATAATCGATTTTTAAAAAGGACTATCGATTGTCGCCGATTTTGGGGTGATCCGATTAGTTATCGATTTTCAGAGACAATCGGGACAACACTAAGTCTTAGTGATACATTTTTCACAGAAACTTGTTAATCATCATTTGTATAAAAAGATATATTGAACATTATTTTGTAATGCTTGACAAAAATAGATGACAACATGTCATTATAAAGATATATAAACATTTACAATAATATCAATATGGAGCAGGTCCACGGTTACCTGTGCCAAGTTTGCATTGGTAAGTCATGGCTAAGTAAGTCATAGGACTGAGCTGACTGTGATTTTATTACAAAGGTGCATGTCTTTCAAAGTGAAGAGAAGAAATATAAAAATGCTTGCATAATTTAAAAGTGTTAAATTCAAAGAAATATGATGAATGAAATTTGTTTGTTCTATTGAGAAGTTTTCCGTGTTGATAGACAACTCAATTGATTTTCTTTGTAATATTTTTGTGTAAATTTCTTTTTAAAGTAAGTATAAAGGTCCAGAATAAATTTAAAAAGGGGTTATATCATAGAGAGACATTATATTAGCAGTACTCTTTTTGAGTCGTAGCATGTAGTTTCTTAAATAAGGGTTAAAAAATGTTTTATACTAAATTAATCAAATTTGCATATTTTACAGGAGCACCATCTTCAGCGAGCTCTCTCAGCCCAGCAGGTGTATGGTACTGCAGAATCTTTAACTATTCCTATCCCTGATGTTGATGATACATCTGAACGTTATGATGGCCTTTACCCCAGTGACTTCAAGCAACCAAAGCAGTTCATTCATTTACAGGGTATACATTTTTTGTGTCTTTTGAGTCTACTTTTCTGAATTCTGAATTTCACTAGCTTTTTGTCCTTGCTCGTTCTGAAAGAAAAAATATTGCATGTAATAATTTAAATGTTAGTTTATTAAATTATGTGCTTTCTTCAATTCAGGCATTTACATAATGTATCTGTTGTGACTTGAATACAGTAAAATGTGATGCGTTTTTGAAAAAATTTACTTATTTTAAATATAACAAATAATTTCACTGCTAATTTTATATAATGAGGTATGACTAAATAAATATGATAAATCATATTTCAATTTTATTAAATTCATGCTTCTTTAAATAAGTGATAAAAAAAAGTTTAAGTTACATCCTGAAATAGTGTCTAACTCTTGGTCTGTGCTTGTTAAAAGGTTTATATTTCAATAAATAAAATTCTTGACTTTTGGCATACACCTTGCATATTCAACAGTCAAAGGATAAACATATGACAATAAGATATGATAATGAAATGGAACATTCAAGTCTTCGTATTTGTGAGTAGAATCTTCAGCAAGGCGAGTAGGAAAGAAGTAGCTTGCTTGTAGAATTAAGAAGCTATTTGTTCTGCTGGTTGAGTAGCTCTAAGTGTTTTTCGATCTCAAAGAATGAAATCAACAAGTTAAACATGACAGGTTTTCTTCAACAATCACCTAAGCCCAAAACGTAGTATGCTGTTGCACTATAAGTTTTCAGTTTATATTTGTCCCATGATGTTATAATGTAAGAAATATTATTTTGGACATGAGATACTTGAACAAGAAAGAGGGAAGAACTTGTTTTAATGCTTACTTTAAACTTATTGCATTTCAGCATTTGGTATGGACCAAGAAATTCCTGATTATGATATGGACTCTGAAGATGAAGCCTGGTTGAGTGAACAGGCAAAGAAAATGGAGATCACCCCTTTAAAGTTTGAAGAAATGCTTGACAGACTGGAAAAGGGAAGTGGTCAACAGGTTGTCACTATACGAGAGGCGAAACTACTGCTGAAGGAGGATGATGATCTCATTATAGCTGTCTATGACTACTGGCTTAACAAAAGACTCAGAACTGTAAGTTTCTCTTCGAGCCCTCCTTGTTCCTATTCATTTTCTTTGTCCATTGGCATTTATCATAATTATCATTATGAAAAGACTGTAGTCTGTTGAATTTGGGAAAAAAAGCTATAATTGCTGATTGGGAAGTAAAAAAGGTGGTGTACTGTAGGTTTAGATTTTTGGGGAAAACTGCATAATTTTATGAAAATGTTGATTGGGAAGAGGCCTTTTATAGGTCCCTGATATATAAAGGTGAAAAAAATTTGTGGTATTGACTTTTAAAGCCCTACAGTTTAAGAGGAAATTGATATTTAAATTCCTAAAAAAATTTTTTTTCAGCAACATCCGTTGATTTTGAGCGTTAAGACAGAGAAAAGAGATGGATCTACAACAAATAATCCTTATGTTGCTTTCCGACGACGTACAGAGAAAATGCAGACAAGAAAGGTATGTTGTTACATGATGTTGTCATTTTAACTTCATAAAGACAAGTTTTTCTTGTACATATTAAGATAGAATATATAATTAGCAAGATTTGAAGTTTTAAATCTGTATGCATTTTACTGTTAAATTGGATCAAGTAAATGTATAAACTGCTATTTACTGTTGTAGATAAATCAATTAGATTTTAAAAAAAAATGTTTTTGCTGTATGTTATAAGTATATAGTTTGGTCAAAAGTTTCAAAACAATGTCTATTTTTTCAACATCGAAACATATGATTTATTACATTTATATTGTTAGATAATGAAGTTAGAATGTGGCATTTTGCTCACAAGTGTCATTCCTTTTCTTTCTGTTAAGTGCTAACATTAAATTTAATAAGTTGTCTTTTTTTTCAAAGACACCTTTATTAGTTCTTATTACTAAGTATGTACAGTTAGAGGTGTTATGTACTCTTGACTAACTTTACTCTTGTAGAATCGCAAGAATGATGAAACATCATACGAGAAGATGTTGAAGCTGCGTAGAGATCTCAGTCGGGCAGTGTAAGTGTCATTACATGTGTACATTGGCACTGATTTAACACTTTAAGACCCTTCTTCTCTCTATGTGGCATAACAATTCTCTAGTGTCTATAGCAACTTGCCTTAGGTAGGTAAGTATGACCACTGATTCTGAATTGAAAGCTAAGTCTTAGTATTACCTGGTGGTTCATTTGATTGCTGAAAGGCTACTGTATTTCAGTTGTGTTTTAAAGAAGTGGTGCTCATTACTGAGCTTAATCTGTGTACAGGTATGTGACATGTACAAAATGAAACAGTAGAATTACAAACACTAGTGTGTTGTTTTTGTTTTAATAAACGAAGGTTGAAAATAAAATGCAGTAAACTGTATATTATTTGGGAAGACAGCAATATGCATATTTTGATTTATCAATTTAAGTTGTTTCATTTTAGGACTTTATTGGAATTTGTGAAGCGCAGAGAAAAAATGAAGAAAGAAATGCTACAGTTGGCTATCGAAGTTGCAGAGAAAAGGTAAATGAAATAGTTGAAATATATTATATGTAGTGCAAGTTTTCACACTTAAGATGTTGCCTTCTTTTTCATAAGCATTTCTGTAAATGACTTAGTTTGTTAATACAAATTGCAATGGCCCAATGATGAAGAATTAAATCAGAGGTTGGGGTAGCCTTCGTCTAATCGCCTAGTCTTCATCTTTTTAAACTGTTTTCTTTGTTCTTGATTTCTTTTCTTCTCTATTTCTATCTTTCCTACAACCTTCTTGTGTCACCAACCCACCCTTCTTGTTTTCTGTCTTTTACTGGGTGTAAGATGTGTGTGCTGCAGCGCGACCAATGACCAGTGATTATGAGAGCTGAGGGCCATCATTGCAATAAAAGTTGAGCTGTGAAATATAAATAATTCTTTTTGCTGGGCTTTGTTACTGCCTTATTCAAGCTTTGTTTTACATAAAAGTAAGATATTTTGTTTTTTTATTGCATGTGCATTTAAGTTGGGTATTTTATTTATATAGGCACATAATTTTACAAAAATATTTATATTGAAAAGGTACCACTTGGAAGACTATGATGGAAAGATGCTTTCAGATGCTGAATCTATCAGGCACAAGTTACCTCCCTTTGTTTCTGCATACACTTGGAAGGATTGGGGCACTGGTGTAAGTTTGCAATTTTTCAAATATCTTAAGACATTGAAAGCTATTTTTAGCATTTATGCATTTTGCTTAAGAAGGTAATACATTCTAGAATAAGTTTCTTTATAGTATATCTAGGCTTTGCTAAACTACTGAAAAGTTTGTTCAACATTTTGAAATACAACTTGGGGGGTTTTTTGTTGTTGGAAATATAATTTTCTTACTTATTGTCACCCGAATATAATTTGTTTCTATTGTACATAATAGATACTACTCATGTTCAGCTTTTTGACTGGCATGCATGTTTTCTTTATATACAGGAAGAAGTATCTGTTAGTAAAAAGAAACGAGAATATAGAAAGCGCAAACATAAAAGTTCTACATCACAACAGCCAAACCAAAACACAAATGCTCAACCTGTATATAATAACACAGAACACTTGGGGATGCTGCAATCTGATCTATACAGCTCTGATGAAGATGTCCTTTCACCAGTAAGATATTTCATAAATGTCTTAATGTTAAACTTGTATATGTTTTTACTGGTAATATTGTTTTAGTTCCACTATGGAGGTATTACAATTCTACAGACTCCGGGTCTCAATGTTGATACAATTTTAAGAATATATTGAATTTTCAAAGCAGTTTGCGTTTATCTAGCTTTCATTGATGTAGTGGTGAAGGGGTTGCTATTTTAGTGAAGACTTGATGCAATTTGACATCACCTTGAGAGAAAACCATTGAAGTATTGAACCTTATGATGGTCAGATAAAGGAGGGATTTGTACAAATTTGCATATATAGGGAATGAATATGCACATTCTAATAACTGTCTTCGTAAATAAATAGGAATTTGTTAAAATTTGATTAAGGTTATCAGTTTACCTAATTAATTGATTTATTTACTTGGCACCTTAGTACATCTTATAGAACATAGATTGACTTGTATTTTCCTCTCTTTTTTCCCCCTAGATGTCTCCATCAGATCATGAAGATGAGAATGATCCTGATGGTATGTTTGCCTTCAAGAGAAAAAAGAATTGCTCCTATTATGCTGTAAGTATCTATAACAGTACAGTCTATTACAACATATATCTGGTGTTGTTAAAATGATATGTAAAAACCATTTTATGAACTTAAGTAATGAACTGATTTATGGCCTGTTTAAGAAAGACCATAATGGGTTGAGCAGATACAGATTATTTCACAAATAGTATGGAGAAGTATCTTTGCTGTAGTCTCCCTCTCTTATTACTGGTGAACATCTAAATAAAAATTTCTTCAGTAAATGGATAGATCCTTGTATGACCCTATTCTTTCTTATTCAAATTATCAGATAAGTGCATTCAGTTAAGAATTTTCACCACTAACTATTTGTTAACAAAAGAACATATGATGGTGTTTGTGATTAAGTCTCTTATTATTTAAGTGAAAGGTCAGAATATGGATACAAAAGTATTTGATACTGAAAACATGCATAAAATTTTATTTGTTCCTTTTGCAGCCAATTTTAGACCGCCTTGGTAATTGGCCTTGGTGTAGTCCAGATGATGGTGGTCTTGGAGACAAAAAATACCGGTATTCATTAACCTCACTTTCACAACCTCAGAGATGTGTAGGGTTTGCACGGCGGCGAGTTGGGAGAGGAGGAAGGTCGGTACTTTATTTAATGTGTGCACAGTTTGTTGGGTAGAATTGTTCAAAGTGGATACTTTTGTTTCTGTGATATGATAGGGTTTTTATAGTTAATTTGAACTGCAATGGCCCAATGATGTAGAACTAAATCAGAGGTTGGGGTAGCCTAAGTCTTATTGCCTAGTCTTCATCTTTTTTAAACTGTCTTCTTTGTTCTTGATTTCTTTTCTTCTCTGTTTCTATCTTTCCTACAACCTTCTTGTGTCACAACCCACCCTTCTTGTATTCTGTCTTTTACTGGGTGTAAGATGTGTGTGCTGCAGCGCGACCTATGACCAGTGATTATGAGAGCTGAGGGCCTTCATCTTAATACAGTTCATTTTCTAAATTGTAGTAATATAATTAAAAAAATGAGGATGGATAATTTTCCATAGTTTGATAGTGGTTTCTTGTTACTATTAGTACACAGCAACTTATTTGATCTTTTTGTAGACTTGGAATCTTTCATGTGAGGAAGCTATTGAGCTACTTTATAGAACTTCGGTGGATCTACTTAGTTGCCTAAAGTTAGGCACAGAAGGGCACCTGAGGTTTTCCTCCACATGTAAAGTTGGAGCCTCACCATATGACCTAAACTCTGTCGGTGTGACAACCTAATCAGATAAACAAATAATTTTTGTAGACAAATAATAATCACACTGTTAAAATTACTGGTAATATTGTTATTAACAGTACATTTTCCCTGTTAATCATTGGTATTTGATGGAAAAAGATAACATAAGAATTTTTTTTTACAGAATATTATTAGACAGAGGTTTTTCTCCGTGGGATGATGAATTACATCAAGTGGATTTGTCGGGATCGGGTTCATATTCAGGAATTTTAGGAGACTATGTCACTTATATACGAGATAAAAAAGTGTAAGTTTCTATAACTTGATAGATTCATTCCTTTATCACCCATAACTAATAGTGATATCTCTTTTTATAAAAAGATACTCATTTGGAAATTGGGTAGTGTTTTGTGATGGAAAAGAGCTCACCATTCAGGAGAATAACGTTTAAAGTTTGGGTAAAAAAAATAAAGATGAATCGAGTTGCATTTGAATGATGTTGAATTAAATGATCTTTATGTTTTGAGATGTAGGTTATCGATACTTGCATTTATTTGTAGATCACATTTTCGTCCCCATTCACCACCTCCAGATGCCGACACCAGTCATCTTCTGGGCCCTCCATCTTTCACGTCCTCCCAGGACAGCGAGTTTAACATGGATCATTTCACATCACACCAAGAACAACTTCTCCAGATGCAGAGAGACCAGCAAGAACAACTTCTGCGCCACCAAACCTGTGATCTCGACACTTCATACCCAACATTAGAACATTCCTTCTCCTCTCAGCCCACATCAAGGTTCACACTTGACACAGCTAGTGCTAAGTTCGCTGTATCAGCAGTGATAAACTCAACTCAAGTGCAACAGCAACAAAGTGCAACTTCCACAGCTACTATAAATGGTGCTAGCTCAATAGCCACTTCAACAGTCAATTTATTGAATGGACCAATAAATGCTATCACTGAAAGTAAGCTTGTATTAAACTTAAAGAGCTTGAAAATAATTTTCAATGCTGATTTCTTATTGCCATTGGTGATGTTTTGATTAAGACATAAATGGGGATAAACTTAAAAGTTTTTACAGCCACCTATTTCAAACCACAGGGACGATACTTTCGTTGATCATTAGCTGAAAAAAGAGAAATATTGCCTTTGAGAAAATTTGTGTGGATACTTTAGTGTTTTTTCATGTACCTCTTAATCTGTAATGAAAACTAATGTTATAACTTACTATTATATATGGAAAAGTTTTATAATGAAAACATTACTGAATTGATACTAAAAGTCAAACAGAACCCAAAAAAATGTGTTTTATTCTTGTTTATTTATTTAGATGTATATAAAACTTTGACTATTGATTATACATCCAGCTCACTTTCAAAATTTATTGAAATCTTAATTTGTCATGACATTGTGTACCTTGCAGATAAATCCCACGGGCTTTCAACATCACCAGCTGCAAACATCCTGCAGTTGAATTTTCCATTGAACAACAATAACAACAACAACAATCAGCTGTTGCCTGTTACGATCATCACGTCCCTCACCACATCTAACACTGCCATATCATCACACAGCTCTAGTCTTTCATCATCGCTGTCAACGACGAGTATATCATCATCGTCGTCCGTCCCTGCAAGTACAGTGCTCACAACTATTAATAACCTGGCTGGCAGGAACTTCACGGCAGCCAATCTGTACAAATTGGCTACCTCTCAGAACACTGTGCTGCAGACATCAATCAAGTATGTTTACTCTTTTATCTTCACTTAGTGACAAGTTTTATTTGTTTAGCCTAAATTTGGTCAGATGCCAGTCATTATGTAGTATTTCCTTATCAACCTAAGTGCTAACCATGCCATATAATGTACCTAGTCATCTTAAGGATAATTTATTTAAATATTGTCGTATTATCTAAAAAAAAAAGCTTAAATTTTAAGTCCTTTTCATAAAAAGTGCGAAAAAATTGAAATTAAAGTGCTAAGTCCTTGAATTTAATTACCCTCTTGAAAAGTTGATTTCTCTCTAAAAAAAAAAGGGCTTAAATTTGCTGTAAATATGCTTGAAAATGATTGAATGACATAGTGTCTGTAAAAAAAAAAAGCAATTAGCAAAAAAAAAATGATCAAATTATTATTGAATGACATAGTGTCTGTAGAAAAGGCAATTAACTTAGATCAAACTTAGTACCAAAATCAATGAAATGTTTGCTGAATACAGTAAGGGGAAAAATTACAGTTGATTGGAACTAGTTTGAGTATGAATATATCATAGTTGCGCCCCTTTGTTGTTCTTCTATAGAAATTGTAAGATGGCGACCGGAAAATACTACACATCTAGTTGAGAAGTAGTCCTAGTATTATTTCAGTGGTTTATACTAAGCAAACTGATAGATGTATAGAATATGAAAATAAATACAGATGTATAGAATATGAAAATAAATACTTAAATTACTTTAAAATTGTGTATGTGTATATTTTATTCAGGTTTCATATATGTAATTTTTATGAAAATTATCATTGAAGAGTTTATTAAAATTGATGATATAATCGGAACTTTTCAATGTCATTTTTTATAACTCATTTATATATATTTGTCATTACAGACAAAATCATGAAGATGCCAAATCTTTGAACAACCTCAATAATATTGAAAAAGTCATACAAATGGATGTTACTTGAGACGAGGTCTACTCCACTATGACTCACATAGTATGAAGTGAACTTGCATGTCAAATGTGATGGATTATGTCCATACATTGTATAGGAAGCGCCCACAGCTTGGGGAGAGTAAACACGCACCAATGTAAAAGCTTGGATTGTTTAGAGCATCGTGGTTCTTACTGGTACAGTCTTGACGAGAGTAGAATTTTGTAGAAATAGAACCTTCGGCAGTATTACAATGTGTCAATGTACATGGTCATTTGCAGGGAAATTCTTGAGGGTTTAATCCTTGATGATAATTTGATATTTATGTTAGAGCACATTAGAAATAGAAGGGCTATGGCTTATTCTTTTGTAGATATGAAGTTTATAACTTGTTACACTAAGTCTTTATACCGTTCTTGTTTAAACTTCAGGGTTATAAGTTATTTTTGACTATTGTTTTAACGTATCTGTAATTTAGGCGCTAAAGCTGTTCAGAGTAAAACTTGTCATTTACAACATCTAAATTGTTACGAAGGATAATACAAGTTAAATAGTGAATAGCATTTTAATAATGAGGTACCATGAAAGTTTACCATTTGGTGTTTTACTTTTATACATGTACAAACAAGTCAAATTGTAAGATCTCGTGTTCAGAAATTTTAAGAGGATATTCACTTCTTAAGAAAGATGTAATCGTAATGATTATTTTGGATACCAGCAAAAGGTACTGTATGGTGTCAAAATGATTTCTGGGATTATTGAAAGTTGAATCATATTTAGTCTGTTAACAACAAATATGTTTGCATACAGTTAAACATGAACCAGAAAGAAGACTCTTAATGGCAAATGGTTGTGCCACCACCGTGTTTTATTTTGAAAATCATGTTTCTATAATTTAATAACTTAATGTTTTTCATTTTCTTCTTCTATTACTAATATGTTCTATTACCTTTGTTCCTCATTTTAGAGGGAAGTTACTAATGAAAAAAAAAAATGATAACATTCAACAAGGTTTAACAGTTAACTTGCATACTTTGAAGATGCAGTTAGTAGAAACTTGCAAAAATTTGTGAGTAATTATAGTGTTGATTTTTGTGCTAAAGTAATTAAGTACAATTTAAGTTTTCATTATGCGAATGACATTCATCTTAATTAGCTTAAATTAGCAAGATTCTAGTTGTGTGTTAAATCTTTGTACAAGACAAAAGGTTACACAGTTTAAATTGCCTTCCTGATTTATTATGTTGATGCTTGACAAAGAACCATGTAAAGATAGTGGCAGATTTTGACTACCATAACTATACTGAGGTTTTTAGCTTTGCCGTGTCTCGAATTAACAGAAAGGGTGAAACCAAATATTATATTTGAAGAAAATGCTGAAACTTTATCATTAGTTTTCCAGATCTTAACAAGTTTCTTCAGAGAGGTAGCACTGATTAATAAATATAGATCATTTCATTTTTTGATAGCTGCTAATTATTTCACATGGTTGTTTTCATATTTTTTTACCATTCATCAGCTTGTTCTAAACCAAAGTCTTTCAAATAACATATTTTGTATATGAGCTTGTGAAGTTTTCTGTATGAACTTCTGTCATGTAATATCATTATTTGTATGTTTGTGTAGAATTATTTGTACATTGCCACACACAGGGTAGCTTTAACCAGCTTTCATTGATACCATAAAACTTACGGGACCATATCACTGATGGCCATTTTATATTTCTGGAGTGATTGCCTACACTGCATTTTTATGATGCTTGATAGTAAAAAATTTAACTCTGATCCATAAGAGAATACAGAAAAGTCTTTGTATGATTTTGAGAGAATGATTTCATTTTGAATTTCACATTGTTGCCTTTTCTATTTTTCTTTCCATTTGTTTTGCAAAGATAACTACCTCAAGAGCGAAGAGAAGAGATTTCCAATCTTATAGCATAATAGATATATGAAACATATGCACGATTCTTGCTTAATGTGAAAAATCAAGAAAGATCACTTATAACCATTGTTTATTCTTACCCGAGGAAATGAAATTGATCATAGTAATTATCGTTTCCAAATGACTTCTTCATTTTTCAAACTATGTATGTTATACTGAAGTTGTTATCTATGCGTAAAAAAAAACAACAACATTGAATTGAAAAATTGGTTTGGAGAAATTGTTAATGTTATGATGCTTATTGTACTACAGTTGTGATGTATTTATGTGTCGTGTATATCAGAACTTGTCACCCAACTTGTAGGAATTTTATCCATTTGATTCATTAAGAGGGTTCGGCATATTAAATCTGAAGTTTGGCTTTGTGATCTGTAACAATATTCTAAAGGATATGAAGTATTTGATGCCAAAATATGTTAAAAGTGAAAATAGATTTTGTACAATTATGTAGTAGGTTTATAAGTTGTCTGCTCACCGCTTCTCAACAGAAAATCGTTGAATTCTTTGATATTGGCGAGTGAAAATGGTAATTTTAAAACAAATATTATATTATTACCAATTTTTGTTTGCTATCACAAAAAAAAACTTCCTGTAAACCTGGCTAAAATTTATATTTGCCAGTGTTGACTATATATTTGTAATGTGATTGTTTATTTAATGTATTAATTTAGAATCCCTGGTGCCACCTTGTATGACTGTATGCATGCTATGTTTATCTATACCACTATTGTGTTCATAAAACCACATTTTACTGTGTCTAGAAGTGTATAAAAATTGGTTTGCTTTGTAATTTATGACTAGTATTTTCTCACCTGTTATGTTGAATTGTTGCTTTTCAAATTTTTAAATCATGTCTAAAAAAAAAAAAAAAAAGTTCTTTGCATTTTGAATTATGAAATCTTATCCTAGAAGCTACCAATTGCTTGACTGATTAAAGCGATTTTTATCATAGTTTTTCTCGAATTATATGAATATGCAAGGCAGACCTATATTTGTCAATGATTACTTTGTAGCTTTTAAAACTAGACCCCCCATCCTGCTGTCTCCCAAATTTAGTTTTAGTGTAATAATCATACCAGATTTGTTCTAGAGTTGATAATACAGTTTGTGTGATTTTTGTAAAAGGGGGGGGGGGGCTGACTAGTTTAGGGCACTGTTTTCAAATCACTTGCCTGTAGCCACAATTGGCTCAAGTCACGCTAGAGCCTATGAATTATTTTATGCTAGGAAACTATCACAACAACACATAGAATTTTCCAGCAACATGTCTGCTACTGGCTGGAATTAATGTAGGGATCTCTAGGATCTGCATTTACTAATTAAACAGAAAAATTGACAGTTGATCATAACAGTGATTAATCCCAAACAATGGAATAAAGAATTACATATGTGATATGAATATAATTCATTTTTATCTTTCCTTTATAATGATGGTGATAAAAAATGAAAATGGGTGGGTAAAAAGCAACATAAAAATGTTTGGTTTTTGATTGATGGGGAAAATCAAGGATAATTATTTTTTACACTTATCTGCCCAATACTTAAGATATCATATTGTTGAAATATATTTATTTCAGTTAGATAGTATAAAGGGAGAAAATGAAATTATTGCAACAAAGTCTAACTTCATACTTGCATTGTACTAATATACTTTCTTGTACAAAAAAACTCTAATGCTTCATATTTGAATTAAAAAATCTTTTTGTTTTCTCTAACTATATAATATACATACTAAGCTCAAATCCTTTAAAAAAAAATAAAATATAAAAAAAAGTTTTTGTCTCAGTTATCCAGGTAAATGCTATGCTGCTAGTACATCAAAGTAACAAGGATTTATTTTTACTTGAATTATTTATGAACTTACCTTAAAAAAATCGTTTGAAGTTTAAAGGTGAGTTTTGTAATCTAATCAGTGATGTGAAGGGCGAGAAAGTGAGAGTGGTTTAGATACATGTTTTGTAATATAATAATCTTGTGTTCAACTGTGATATGATAGAGCTACTCGACAGAGTCAGTTCTGAAAAACACAAAAAATAAAATAATAAACAAATACCAAATACTTCTTGTGTATTCTTTTCTATAATGCAATGGTCAACATCTAAACTGTCATTTGCATTCATACAGATTCCTTGGTAGATTTTCAAGTACCAATTTCTTTACGATTTTCACAATAGTAAATTTTACGGATGTGTTGATCTTGAGATCGGTCAAAGGTCACCGTTGCTTTTACCCCTAAAAGATTGCCCGACCAATAGCAAGAGACCGCTTTGACATACAGCTGAAGCTTGTCATGATTTGAAGATGATCCTTATCAATTTTGAAGTCGGTTGGTTAAATATCAAGGTCGCATGCCTTTACCAGGTAAAGCTTTGCTGACCAATAACTTGAGAACGCTGTCGCTGATTTGGCGGATAAGTCGATGGATTTTCAGATCAGTCGAGTAAAGACCAAGCTCACCGTAACATTCATCAAAAAAAGTTGTCCGACCAATTGTTATGGAATGCTCTGAAAAGACATCCGAGATATTTTTTGCTGTTGCATTTGTGCTATATGACATTGCGAATTTTATTCTTATGACAAGTCCTGTTAACTTTAAAGGAACTTCACTGAGGTCCAAAAACCTGAAGACAAAAAAATCATACACAGATCAGCAGTGGCATAAAAAATATGCATAATGTAATAAAGAAATATTGAAAATCGTATGTTTGTGCTATTCTTAGCCCGATTTAAATTAAAGACGTTGCAGCGTTTTTCAATTGGGGGGTTGTTGTTGTTTTCCGCAATAAAAAGGAGTGAGCGAAAGATCTTAATTGTTGCATACAAGTTATTAGTCTAGATCTACATCAAATGGAACGTTAATCTCGAAAAAATATTTTCAGCCCCGTCATGTTAAAGGAACTCCACTGAGGTCGAAACGCCTAAAAATAAAACTTGAATTTCTTTCACAGATCAGCTGGGGCTCTTTAAGTAGAAAGATTATTAAGAAAGATGTTCAGAAACAAATTAGAAATCGTATTTTTTGCCGTTTTGAATTAAAAGCGTTGCAACGCTTTTGAATTTTAGGTCAGTTTTTACAATTAGAATAATTATTCTGGGATGAGCAATTGATCTGAACATTTTAAGGCAAGCTATTGGTCTAGAGGGACATTCATCTCAAAAACTATTTCTAGTCCTGTCACATCAACAAACTTCAGTGCAGTCCCTTTAAAGTCCTCTGAAGTCCCTTTAAAAGTTTACAGGACGTGCCTATAGATTTTATTAGCTTGCAACATATTCTATCCCCCAGACGAGCGCTTTGTGGTCAATGACCCCCTTGTATTAAATACAGTCGAAGCATGATATGAGGTCAAAATATATTAAATTACATGCCGATGTGTCACGCGCAAAGATTAAATTTCATGCAGCTTTCATAATTTATGCATGCATGGTTGGATTTACGCATGAAAGACCTTTGTCAAAGTTTTTTTTTGTATTTCTTTAAGTTGTATTTGTCATATTATTATCTTTACTGCAGTTTGAGTACATGTTCAGTCCACCACCTTTGCATGCTATGCATGATGGGTTTTGAAAATAAATGTGTACCTATACAGCCACCACATGTATATGATGGCCTTAGGTCAAAGGTCAATGTCACAGCAGGGGATTAACCTTGATGAATTTTTCATAGTACATTGTAGTATATATATAAAAGTGCAGTATCGCTGTCCAGAACCTTTGCATGTGCGATTGAATTGCATTATTTGGTTATAAAGAAGATGTATTTGGTGCCGGCCAATATTATTGTGTCAAAGGTAAAGCTCAAAGCATGGGATTGAAATTGGTGCGTTTTAAATACTTTGTATACTCTTAAGAACATCTTTTACTTGCACCTTTTATTATAAACTTTAAAAAAAACCAACACGATACAATATGCATTAATAACATAATTATTTTTTCAGTCCTCATCACATTCAAACGAAATATAATTTGCTAACTATATCTTTCAATTAACATGTCAATGTCTGTAGCTAATAAATGAACCGTATTTCCTATTATTAATCTCTTCGGATTTCTTTCTGATTCTATTTGTACCGTTATGAATATTTCGGATTTCTTTTATTTTCAAAGTAAAAGCACCATTGTGGAAAGCCCGAGTTATCTGGCGTTCCCTCATTTATGAAGTTTTCACTGACCGTATTAAATACATTTGTTTTTCAAGATGACTAAAGTAACTATTTGTTTGTTTCCGAAGGGATAGTGTTGCCAACCGGAATCACATAATGCCCCGGGATATTGAAAAGGAAATTATGTTTCTAGAAAGCTTTTAAAGTAATCAATCGTTTATAAAGAAAACATTGCGAGACTAGATTTTTCTGTTAGAGTGATTTTGTGAAAATGACTTTAAAGCAAAATATAATTCACCATTATTCTAAGTCAATATTCTGCTGTAATTTTGCGATTACAAAACATCCCTTTAGCCATAAGATCATTTTCAAAGTTACTAGTATATTGTATGGATATCCCTACAAAATGTATTGAGCAATTGGTCATTGATACATATACATTGTTGCTATGATAGCGTAAAAATAATTCATTTTTTTATTTGACTAATAAGCATCAAACTTTTATATACAATTTATACGATCTACATAATAATATCATCACAAGCTAAAACGTGTGTGGCGGTGTGGCTGAGAGGTTGCACGTCGGATTTGTAATATAAGTATCGCTGGTCGCGTGGGTTCAAACCCCGTCAGAACAAAACCGTTGTTTCCTTCAGCAAGAAACTTCACACTTATTGCTCAATACTGGTTAGTTCCATGAACGGATTCCACCGTGTTTCAATAAGTTCATAGCTTCCGACAAAATCGATCTAAAATAAATTCGTATAAACTAAATGCTTTAACTTTTATTTTCCATGTCTACTTTTGTGCTGCAAAATCATATCAAGTTACTGATCAACCTGTAAGATGCTTTTCTTCCTAAAAATGTATAACTATGTATTAACTCAAGTAATGTCAGTTATCTTTTAGACTGTATTACAATATACATGTACTTATTTCTATTTTAACCGTTTGGACCCTATAAGTCGTTATTTTGGCGGATCACCTTTGAGGGATTTAACTGGACAACTTTATTATTCCATCTCTATACAGAGTTCGAAAAATACGACAGTTGGGCGAATA